AGCATGAGCGAAATTTGGAGACACCCTTTGATTAGAAAGTACGAGAAGCGCTACCAAGGGGCAGTGAACTATCATATCGGCCCTGCTCCGCCGATTATGCCTGAAGACTGTGGCCCGCCAATCAACAGCAAGGAAGACGTCGACATCGACCTTCTGAGGAATCTCCAGACACTATGGCATGATGCTACTCCAGAAGCAATACTGAAGAGAATCTTAGACCCTACGTAAGTCGAGTCGTCTGCGCGATGTCATCACACGTGGCGCCTACATGGAGAATATCGAGTAGTGAACCTGCAGCTGATTGATCGAATGACTAGTCCAAGCCACCAACGCCTGTTTTACAATGCTTTGGTGAAATTCAGAAATGAACAGTTAGAGAATTATCAGGGACAGACCCTCGAGCATTCGGCCAGCGACTATCACCATATATCAGTGCCGCCGCGTACACCGAGTCGCCGGACTCGACGTGCGAAGGGCAGCTCAGCGAAGTGGTCTCAGTTCCCACCCGTGAGAGAGACAGGAATAAGAACAAAGTATAATGAAGAGCCGAAGTCTTGTGCTACGGTGCGGAGCTACGACCCGTTCAGGTCGCCACAAGGCAAATACCCCCCGAGAGAAGCGAAGTGTGCGAAGATTACAGTCTACCGCAATGGACTTATTGTCGATGTTGATAAGACCGTGAAAGAGCCTTCAGAAACAGCTCCCCAACCGAGGCCAACTGCAAAAAACGACACGGATAACGAGGTGCCCGAATGCCCGCCAAGCTCACCTTTCGTGGTCATGCGTGACAAGCGCATGAAGGTCAATTCTGTCAAATCATTCCATTCAAAAACATCGTTATCGGGTTCTCGTCGGGCTTTATATGTCGCATCAACCCCTCGTTCTGCCAGCTACAAACGCAATGTATCCTTCCACCACAAAAGAAACCGCTCGCAAGGCTCAGTATCCGCCAGAGCGAGGCCACCCCGGCCGAAAGTCCGCAACATAAGGCTTGATGCAAGTGAAAGCACTGTAGTGTCTGAATTTGACGATGATCCATTTTCTGACGCACAAGAGAGCCCATCGTTGCCCGCTCAGCCTACAGTTGTGCGGGGAGCTGGTGTTACAATCAGGAATTGTCCTCAGATGAAGAAGGTGCGAAACAGTGATATCATTTGGAAGGATGATGCGCGAAAAGTGTCCTATGAACTTAGTCAAATATGCGAGGAGGCCTTCAACGGCAGCTCACTGTCCACGAACTGCACCGCCAGCACATGCATTGGCTCCGAGACGCCTGCGACATCCGTGTCGATCGCCAGTCCTGAGGTATCTCATCAACAGCTTGCCTCCAAAGGACACTCAGCCATACGCACAGCACCTCCAGCCGCATCGTCGCCTCGGTCATACACAGCTGCAGAGCTTACTGAAACCCGTCGTAAGCTGATCCAACATTCGTCTAGAGACGACTCAGGAAACATCCCCGGCTACTTGAAGCCGATCATAGCACACCTAGATCGCCTGATCGAGCAGGACGAAACGAAAAAACAAGAGAGGCGGGATCATCCCCAATCTTATGCCAGTGCGAAGAGTGAGCAATTCGTCCGGCCTTCAAGCGAAACCCCGCAGCCACCAGAAGCACAGAAAAACCCGGATAATGCGCCGGAGCGTCAAAGCAATGCTGGCTACAAAGCAGGAGACCAGGGGACAGCCTTGCAGTCTACTCCTCGGAAGCATCCTGGCCGCTCCAACCGTGATGGAAAGAGAACTGTACGCATGGTGCCTCATAGTTCCCTGCAGTCGATGGAACCGACCAGGGACTTGAACATTCGAAAGAAACGCAGTTCTATCCCCGAAGACATTCCAGAGACACTAGACTTGTGTACACCGGAAGTTGAGAACGACCAGGCTGCAGCATCTACACGCAAGTTCGCTTCCCTTAATCCCGGCCAAAGTCGGGGCCCTTGCGAACTGGACCCTATTGAAGAAACGCCAGGATCACCCCGACGTAGCGGCACTCGTTCTTCAGACAACAAGAAATGGTCGTGGTTCCAGAATAAACATCAGCTGGCAGGGGAGCACACTACAAGAGACTGTTCGGACATCCCACAAATCCAACCAAGTTCAGCGACTGTGATCAGACACCACCAAGATGACTCGAGAGGGGCGAAAGCCAGGACCCAGCGAGAAAGCCAGTCGAGTGGAAAGGCATCTCGGACAAAGCCCAAGGGCGGGTTCTTCAGGAGACTAATACATAGACGAGCAAGCAAGGATGCTCAGAACCATGATACAGGTTAGTTCTCCGCGCCTATATAGCAAGGGAAGCAACTGATCACAAAGTACAGGATTCGACGTGACAGACACGAACGTCTTGCTTCACCACAATCCCGAGACTGCCAACACAACAGACACTGAATATGACGGCAAACCTCTTCCACCTCCCCCACGCGGTGGGGGGAAGAGCCAGAACTGGTTTGCTCGCGTATTCCAACTCAAGCCTGCTACTCGAGTAATAGCACTCAACACATCAACTACCAAAGCTCGGAAATACATCCATAAGACCATGCGTGAGTGGAAGAAATGGGGTATGGAGGATGTTTATCTTGATAAGGATAAACGGGTTATCTACGGAAGCGTGGGTGAAGTCAATCGTACGTCTCCCAGATCAAACATCTTCGAATATATCATGGAAGAGGCCCAACTAACCCAGCTAATTCGCAGTGCTGAATCTTCGACCGGTCCAATTTTCCGCTGAATTCTGCACTTACCTAGAACAAGGTAGGCAGGAGAACCTCAGCCTTGTCCGCTTCAAGCAAGAGCGCGGAGCAGCATCGTCCTTCCACAAGGTGGTCGACACTCTCTACCTCCTCATGAAGGGCCAGCACATGCTCATGGAAGATCCGGCACGAGCAAAAGAGATGGTTCGAATTCTGGACGACTACCCGAACCCTTGAATATCAGAACAGTCTTACTTAATACCCTCTTCGTTCCCATCTTCGTCTCAATCCCTTAACTGTCTGGACCCACCCAACCACTCGGCCCCTCCAAATCTCACTGCATATACCCTCAATCAACCATTTTCAGGACTTCATGTTCATAATCTCTCTCTCCTTCCCTCACCCTCCCTACAAGTCGGCCTCGTCCAGTTCCAATTCATATGCCATCTATCCAAACCACTCGCTTGGTGATGATTCCTCCTTGACTATCGCTTTTGTCATTCCTTCCTGAGACACTCTTTCGTGGATTTTTTTTTTCTTTTTTCATAACCATTCATCCACTTGTCTTTTCTTTCTACCTAGTACCTATAGTATGTATTCTACTCCAGCGTTTATCCATTTTCTCGAATTTCAGTCGTCTTCGAATCGACCGAATCAAACTACGCTCGCTAGTCAACTATCCAAGTGCTTATTTCCAATTTAAAATTGTTCTTGAAAAACAAGAAAACCTTTTTCTTATTTCTCTCTATATTCCAGCTAGCTACTCGTACTATGTACACATACCTGTTTTTACCACTATCAGCTCTAATTCTAATCTTTTTCTGAGTAAATCTTCAATGCTAGTCAAGCTTGCATCCCGCTTCGGATCTATGTACGTGCCTGAGTAAGATTACCAGTAAACAGTTGCTATGAGGGTCAGCTGGATGTGGATCGCTCTCTATATAGGATGCTGCTATTATAGGCGAGGCAGATGATGCTGTGCTTCTTGAATCAAGTCCAATGTAGAAGAATACCATATGGCCTATCTATATGGTTATCATTGAGTTTGGGTAGTCAACTAAGACAGCGTGTAAAGGATGCTAGTCTCAGCCATTACCGGCAGATAAATTACATTACAGTAGTCATGGATACTACTAGTAATTGATTGCCTGAACGGGCAAGCAAAGCAGCAAATCAGACTTACGAAGGCCTATGTGGTAGGAAGGATACCTAATAAACAGGGTACGTAGGTATTTGATACTGGACTATATGAGGTAGGGAACGCGGGAAAAATCAGCGAACAATATGCACAAAGCAGGTTAGGCACCAAAATCGATTCGCATTGTAAACAGAACGCATGGTGATTGCAAGTTGTAAAAGTTGATCAGACAGCCTCCCAAGTATAATACGGAAAACAAAAACAAAACGTCAAAAATTGGAACCAGAATGACCTCCGTTTTCGCAAATGATGGCAAAGTACCTTCCCAAAACAAGCTGTTTTAGGGCAGACAACGAACTCGGAAACAAGAACATGAACGCAGGACAGATAGCCTCCCGAAAGTAGTGAAACACAACGTGGAAAAGACAAAGCCACCGCCAATAGCATTGCAAAAGAAAAAAAGCCTCATCACACATCTTGTTTGAGAGAAATGGAAATGCAGCAGATTCGCACCAATAATTCGATTCGTAATGGCTGACGCGAAGGCAGCCGTTGCCGACAGATGGAGCTTCCGAGTAAAGCTCGTCACCCAGGTGATCCCAGTAAAAACCGCTTGTTTCCAAGATGCGGTCACTGATCGAAGGACGCGGAACAAACAGAGTGTAGACCTCACTTTGCTTGATGACTTTGAGAGCGTTGAACTGGACCTGGTAGAGAAAACGAACGGCAAGACCAACAAGAAGAAAAACGTAATTAGTAGGTTGCCCTAAGTATTTTATAGCCAGTGACAGTGTCTTCGGAAAGGGAAATGTTGTAGATGATGAAAAGAACAGAGTGCGATATGATGACTGACAAGGCACTGTAGCTGCCGCATGAGCGCCGCAACATCGACAAACAGATGCGCAGATAATCGTATAGAGTAGTCAACCAAGACAGACATCCTCGTACTTGAATCATGCAGCTCGTAACTCTCTTGCGTCTCGTTTCCATGACCTCGTAGCCGAATAATTTCCATTTTTGCCTCCTCTCCCATTTTTGATTTGGTTTTTTTTTATATCCTTAATTCCGTGGACCTCCATACACTCAAGGCATTGCGCTGCGCTTCAACAGTCGGCGATGGCTTAAGAATATGTAATCCCGTCCGGGCATTGCACATGAATTCGTTTCCTTCACTTCATCTTACTCTTTCGTACCCCAATGAACGTGTGGCAATGGCCGCAACACGAGAAGCATGGGATGATATTACCATGACTATCACATGGAAGTGTGACCAGCACACAAGCTTTGCGCGTCAGCCATTGACGAATTTGAAGGTGTCGCCTTCCGCTGCATCTCCATGATCTTTCGAACTCATAACCGTCAAACCACCCTAATCCCCATCATAGCCAACCCGTTGGCTGCATACCTGCATATGTCGCAAAACTATTGGCCTAGGCCCCGACGGTTCAATGCATTGAGCATGTCACTATCGGTGCTAGAACGACCTTGGCCCGGGTTCTGACCTTCTCCAGGGTTCAACATATCTCGCACGTTCAGTCCACCGCGAGATGAAACACCCGGGGTGGAAGTAGGGGGAGGAGTCATCGCCCCTTGGTTGGGGTGAACAGGGGGATACGGGGAGCTGTGAGGAGACGAGGAATGGCGACCATCATAGGGGTAACTAGATTGCGGAGAGGTACGTCGCTCATGCTGAGGAGGCGGCGGGTAGTATGGACTCGTCGCACTATACGTCTGATAGCCAGAGGCAGATGAAGCGGGTGTTACCGGGGCGAGATTTGTGGGATCGGGATATTCAAAACCGGAGCTTGATCCTCGACGACCGACAGGCCTCTGATCAAAGAAGATTAGTAAAGAGAGAACCAGTTGGATCGCAATAAGAAGCTCGTGCTACTCACATGATCCTGAGCTCCATTGGGTAGAGGAGGAGCGTTTGCGTATTGAGGAGGGTACGCGGATGGAAGTGTACTCTCCGGCTGCTGCTGTGGTGGGAGAGGCTGGCCATGGGCACCATAGAGCATCACTCCTCCAGGAGGCGGTCCGCGGCCTTGGTTTTGGGCATTCCGTAGGTGCGGGTAGGCGGCATGGGCAGGTACAAAGGCTTGCGCCTGGGATGAGACTGGCGTGAACATGCACTCCTGGTTGAAGCGGATGCAGTTGCTGCAGCGTCCATCCTGAGAGCTTTCAAATCCCGAGCAACGAATCTATTGGTTCCGGAAAGAAAAGCGTCAGTTGCGACCGAGTATAAGACGAGCGTCCCATAAAGGGAGCCATTTGACAGAATCGACGCGAGAACGTACCTTCCGTCTCCGGCAATAACGACACGCGATGGCAGTCCGCTGACGGGGAGCAGCAGCTTGGTAGACTACTTGAGGCGGAGGGGGTGCGCTGTACATGTCTGGGGGGCGGTAGGAGCCGGGAGGGGGTGCCATGCGGTAGGGGTCCTGCGACTGTGGAGGGGGGATAGCTGCCATGTTCGGCGGAGGCGGATACTGCCCAGGTGCAGGCGGGTATTGGTGCTCTGGTGGTGGATAGGAAGTCGGGGGATATGAAGTTGGAGGGTACGAAGCCGGAGGATACTAATGGAGTGAAGATAGCATCAAGGTTAGCCAATGCACCGTTTGACAATCGAATAAGAGCCGCATCGCAAGCCAGCGGAGTTCGAAGGCACATGAGAGATAAATTGAGGAATAAATGGTATGAAGCACGTATAAAAAGGAAAGAAAAAAAAAAAAATCGGAATAGAAGCAAAAGAGCAAGCAACATACAGGATACTGAGAGGATGGCGGATAGTGAGGAGCTTGGCCGTCAGCAGGCTGCTCAGGTTGACTAGTATTCCATTGCGGTGGAGGCGGATACTGTCCCGGCCGATTAGGATCGTTGAAATCGTTGGGATTGCGGTACGGGCCCTGCCGGTTCGGGTCGTTGTGGTCGTTGGGGTTGCCGGACATTGGTAGAGCGAGCGTGCCAGAGAAGCTGATTTATAAAAAGAAAAAGAAAAAAGGAAAGAGAAAGAAAAAGGACGGGAACGGGCGACGGAGGAAAGCCAGAGAACAGATGCAGGATGATGTGAGGTGAAAGTCACGGTCCCGCGGGTCGTTCAGGCGAAAAGAAAAGGTAGGCAGGGATGGTGGAAAAGGTTCCTTGGAGAGCGCGGGCCGCACGGGGAAAGCGTATGTATGATGCTGTCTGGCTGTCTGACTGTATGTATGCTCGTATGTAATGGCTCAAGGAATGGACGGCCGTATGTATGTAAGCAGTATGTAAGTACGTAAAGTATGTACGGAAGGCGAAGGTGTCGGTGTAAGGCGACCAGGATGTGTCGATGCGGAGTCAAAGCCGGTCAATGAGTCGACCAATTCAAGTACAATTCCAGCTCCCGTCGGATGATTTTCGAAGCTAGCATAGCCTCGTGATCACGCTTGAGCCAGAGATGGAGGAGGAGCACGAAGCAGATGAGGGGGAAGAGTGAAACGCAGGAAAGGGAGTGAGAGTTGAGTTGAGGAGGCGAAATAAAAAGAGGGAAAGAAAACCAAAAAGAGGATCTAATCCGCAGATGGAAGAAGCCGAGGAATGAGATGAGCGCGGATAGGTGAGGGAGGGAAGAAAAAAGACCAGGGGGCAAGTGGGAGGCGGTGGAGGGAAGGAAGTCGATTAAGAGGTCGAGGTGGTCAAATTTAGCAAGGGTCAGGGAAGGATGGTAAGGAGGGGGTGGGAAGGTAAGGGAAAATATAGAAGGAAAAAAAGGGACAAAGAGGAAAAGCGAAGGCGTGAAAAAATAAGGGCCAGAAAAATAAAATAAAATAAAAATGAGAAATAAAAAAGAAAATTGGGGAAAGAGAAAATTCCTTTTTCTTTTTTTTTTCTTTTTTCTTTTCTTTTTTGGATTTTCTTTTTTTTTTTTTTTTTTATTGTTAAAAAAAAAAAAAAAAAAAAAAAGAAAATAGAAAGGGAAGAAAGCGAGAGCCTCGGGGATTTCAGTTATGACGTGAGCGTTGAGCACGGAGGGGCTCCCAATGATGATGGCCCGTAATATCAGCCAAAATGGATAGACTGGGCTGGTAAATTATAGTATGTAGTAGTGGGAAACTCGTGAATCAATATAGAAGACACTTGAACGCAGCCAGAGTATTTGGAAGCGCAATGGAAGCTCTAGTAGCAAGAACGGGAGACCAAGACCCGAAGAAACCAGGAGAGAGAGTATGTGGTAGATACCCCAGTCCAAACGAAGGGGAGCAGAGAGCTTTTGAAAGGTTTTCTGTTTGAACAGAGCAGGTGTCACTAGTCTGTTATAAGAATGGTGGTGGTTGTCAGCAAAGCCAGAAGAAATAGCGTCTTCAATGCCTAACAGTAGCGCAATGCAAATGTCAGTAATGATTAGACACCAAAGAAACCGAAGCTGCGAGGAGAACAGGGTCGGGCCTGTTGACCCTTGGCCGTAGAGAACATCCTGGGATTTTGAAGGTGCAAACCGACCATCTGTGGGAGGGCGTGTACACACCCGTCTGCCCTTTCACCCCTTTCGTACCCTTCCTCTCTCTCAATTAGTGCCTGATGCAAAGTCAGAAGAAGGAAAGAAAGGAAATTAATGAACCCACGTAGATCTTGATGCCCAGGGTTACTCGCTAACATGGTTTCTGCAGGAAAGAAAAAGCAATGCGATGACAGGGAAGCCATACCTTCAGTATCGGGAACAGATGCTTATGGCACAGATTGAACTTTCCCCAGATAGGCCAGAAATACGAGGATACTGTTTGAGACTTTACTATCTATGCGAGCCAGAAGGCCAAGGGAGTTGAAAAGAAACCCGAGTACTAAGGAGTTCAGATACTAAGATACTATAGACAATTGGTAATGTGAAGAGATTGGTCGATGTATACACATGACCGGATCGAGAACCTATGCTCCTATACTATCTAATAAACTCTAGGTGGGAAGAATCTAGCGAAACGACGAAGACGGAAAAGGCAAGGTTCTCGAGTCCTAAGAGAGTTATTCTTTATAACCCGTTGTTTAATTATCTCTCTTTTCTTTCACTTTGCAATTTCACGAATGACCCTTGGCAATGACTCAGTCAAGGCGCTTTTCTTCTGAACTAATTTCCGCTTGTGCTGCTCGAAAACAAATAGATAGATTGACTAACTGGGACGGCTCTATCTCGATCACCCAAAAGGATTTCCCAGTGCGACGGGAAGAGACCACAATGGCCTCCTTCTGGGTCGCCGAGTCCGCCGGTCCGTCCGGGAGGCGAAAAGGAAAACGGTTGGATCAAGCGCGTCAAAAACGACACGAGACGCAGGGTACGAGTCCCACGGCTGGCGGAAGCGGAAAGGCGGGAAGATTCGCGATGGGGCCTTCCAAAGAATGCAACAGGTTGTTATTTGGGTCGACTGGGTCCCTGGATACGATGCGGGTATGAGGAGCGAGGAATCATGGCGCGCCTACTACGTTCATACCCGTTCTAGCTACGCGCGACTCTGGTACGTATTAATCAAGACAAGAAAGCGGAGGCGATCTAGTATCATGGTGTCCTCGACCTGTCTCCATGATGGGTATATCATTGGCTCTGCTGGAGAAAATCACCACGCGGGCAATTAATTTGTAGTGGGTGCTAGAATCACCATGGAACCCAGGCTCCGTCATCGGGCAAATGAGTAGTACCAGACGGTTTGGGAAGGGCAATGGGTCGATCCACCATTTCGAGCGACAGAGGAAAAGGATTATTCATTCATATAGAACAATCAAGACAAGATGTGTGGTCCATATCTAGAAGAAATGATAGTGGTGTGATTTTACTATGTTGCGGTGATGGTGTATCTATTGCTGACTCGATGAGAGAACGTGGTGGTGTAAAAAAGGCAGGGAAGGAAAAAAAAATTATAATAAAAAAAAATATAAAACAGAAACGAAAGAACGAAGAAAAAAAATGTGGAAGGATGGAGTAGCGGTCATGGAAAGGAATAGCGTAGAAGAACGGTCCGCAGACCAGGTGGACCCTGTCCAACGCGCCAGCGACCCATAGACATGGACGGGGACTCACCTAAGACGCAGCTAAAGTATTCACGGTTCCATGGGGATCAGCTGAATCGCTGTAAGGCCCTCGGGTTGGGCGTTTGGCAGGCCCCGGCGACCGCACCAACAGCCACTCTTGTTGCGTCTAGAGCCTGAAGAGGGGCGTAAGTTTGCCAGAAGGCGCAAGTGACGACTGATGACGGAGGAAGGGTACGCCGGGACGGGTAAAGGCGCCGTGACGGAACTCCACCGACCGCTTCAAGTCCTTCCGTCTCCAGTTTGGGGGCTTAGTCGGTTTTCTACTTATTACGGTGTCCTGATTTTCTTGTCATTGGCTTTTTCCTTTTCTTTTCCTTTTTTTTTTTTTTTTTTGCCTTTCCTCCTCGCCTCTCTCTGTTTTCCCTTTCTTCTTTATTTTCCTTTCTTCTTGTCTCCCTTTGGGAGTATTTTATTATTATTATTATTATTAATCTTTTGTTCTAGTTTATTTGTCCTGTTCCTCTCCCTATATTTCAACATTATACTCGGGTGAGCATTGGAACACCGCTGCGGACTGTAATTCACATGACCACTTCGCCATGGCTGAATGGGCGTTGAAACTATCCCAGTTACAGCATTTGTGCCGGGTCTTTGTGCTTTTGGTCTGGTACCAAGATAGGAACTGACTGCAGTAGCTACTTACTAGATAAGATACACTAGCTAAGTACTCCATACATACAGCTGGCAGTACTCCGCTTGTTTCAAACATACGTAAAATACCAGTGTATACCCAGTACTAGCACCAAGCAGTCCAGAGTTCGGCCACAACACATATGCGAAGCAGCGCACTAAGTACTCGAAAATGTCGGAGGTGCTAGGCATCGTTTCTATTAGCCAATGCATCTTCAAGGCGCCAGTTAAAACTGGCTCAGAAACAAGGCCATACGCCACGTCGAATATTTGCCAGCAAGGACAGAATCATTCCAACTAAGGTTTCAGTAAGAGATAGTGCTTACTAGAATCTCCACGGGCAAAAGTCATTGGTAGCACTGGACCAAGTACTATAGAGAACCAGGTATCATGATAACCGCTGCTTGAATAACTCTGCTACATGCATACTGGCTCACTGCGTCGAGCTATTTTACTTTTCAAGCACCATTCCACCCTCAAGAAAAGTTGATCAAGGCTGAGTTCGGGGAAGGGGACATCCTGGCTCCACCCGGGTAAAGCCCGAAGCCCCGAACTTTTAAAGAAAGAGGGGCTGACGGCCCGTGGATGGCAAAAGCTCTGTCGGAACCCTACTAAATACTGCACATCACTAGTTCTTCAATATGGTTGCAGAATATGAATAATCATCGGCAGTACTACTGCCGACCTTGCTGCTGCATACATACTCGACAACAAAGCGGCCCACAAACAACTTCGTCTTGGTCACACTGCACACTACATTGCTTTGCTTTACTTACAGGAGGGGACGGCAACGCACATTGCACAGGCAACAATCAGAAGACTAGTAGAAAAAAATATTTTTTATTTTTTTTTTCTTTCTTTTGTTTAGGGAAGGAATGGAAAGGAAGTGTGGGAATCCAGCCTTAATGTCCCACTTTCTTTCCTCATGCTGTGTTCCTTTGTCCCGAGTACTTTTCTCCTCTCAACGGAGTTGGTCGCTCTGTTTGGAACCGCACTCAACAGCTCTCAACACATTTACTTCCTTTTCTCCGTCTTTCAATTCTTCGATGGGGATACTCATTAGGAAGGTGGTTGGCTCTACCTCTTGGTATTTTCTTCTCAATTCCCAGAGCTGCGGTACCAAGGGGGGGCGGGCAATGTTGAACCATGGTTGCTTGTCACTTAGTGTACCACACATCGGGGGCTCGGAGCAACGTATCGTGGCTTTCTTACCAAGCAGACAGTGTCTCGAACCAGCCCACTAATTTCATCCTCAACGCATCCTCAAAAATGATCATTGGGATTGTCGGGGCTTTGTTTGCCGGTACCTGGGCACTCCTTACATACATACCATGATCCGATGACCGGCCGGGGATAGTGGGTAAAACTTCAGAGAGAAAAAAAGGACGTCTTCGCAGACAAAGGAGGAGGGGTGGGGAAAAGGGAGCACGCCAAACTTGGTCATCAGCTGCAACCAGCCTAGAAGGTAAGTAGGTACTTTGCAGCTAACTAAAGTTGTTGTCATTGCTTAATGATACATGCCTGCCCGCCTTTGCTGCATCGCGCATGCGAGGAACAGCCACTAACTACCCTTACTTCACAGCTTGGCTGCATCCTCGTCAGGCCGTCGTTTGTCTGTCGAAAGGGTAAATGAAACATTGCTGATAGGACGCTACCGTATGGTCGTTGTATCATGATACAAGGTACATACGAGGGTAGTATAGTATACTACTTACATACAACAAGGTACGCCCCGGGCCTGCGCCGGACAGAAAGGCAGAATATGTATGCTTCGCAGTAGTGCCCGCGTGCATGCAGCGGCTGCCTTGTTGTGGTCAAGGCTTTACTTATCCAACACACATCCCTGCGGCCAATCTGGCATCATTTGATTGGGGCAGCAGGACTGGGAACTCCCTCCAACTTGGCTCCCAAACAAGCAAACATCTGCACCATCTTAATTCTTCACGATCTTGTCTCTAATATGACTCGTCATCCGCGGAAGCCTGCATCTTCCAGAGCCAAGTGTTATGACAGACTGGCAGAAGAAAGAAAGATAATGAAAACAAAACTAAAATAAAAGCGAAACCTTGGGTGAAGAATCATCGAGTAAAATGAATGGACCGAACCCTCACTCACCATACGCACGAGTTACTTGCCGATATACCACCCTGGTCCAACACTCGGCCCTTGTGGTCAATGAGGGGTTGGCCTACCTACCTTTTAACCATGGCCCCCAATATCCAGGATCCCTTGCATCCTTCCCACCATACCTGGGGCATGTTTCGAACGGTACGGTCCAACCCGTCCGCAAGGGCTATCAGCAATAGATCCTGCTCAGATATGCAGCTTGAGACTTGACTTGGATAGAATTGAGCGGGATCAAGGCATCAGGCATATCGCGTGGATCATCCACACCCACCGCTACCCACCGTTTGTTACCCAGATTCCCCTCGTTTCTCTCCCTCGCCTTGGGGTTGATTGCATGCGTGCATGCATGCATGATCAAACGAAAACTGAAAAGGGATGGGATGGTACCTGAGGTTGCAAGGAACCAACATACACATACATGGTTCCAGGGCCCATACTTCAAAGTTACCACAGGCATGTTAGATACGTAGTAGAAAGAGAAAGAGGGGGAGGTGGGTGGGCGCCCGGACCGGGACATGCGAGATACTCCCGCGCGCGGCGGATGTACCGTCCCATTGCCCCGAAAGGGGGGGAACCACCAACTCTAGTAGTCTTTCATCATTGCCCTGAAGAGAAAGAAATTGCGATTTTCAGCCAATAGCGAATTTCGCCCAGACCATTTCGAATTACGATTGGGTCACGGAGTGTGGAAAATCTTGATGATTGGTATGAGGAGTTTTCAAGTGTGACCATCATCATCTATCATCGTTGATGTTGTTGCAACGCTACGGAGTACTACTACCAATCACTTCCATGTTCATAAGTGGTAGCACTACTACCCTTAGTAGTCAGACAAAAGAATCACGATTCCCCCCGCCTCCTTGGAAATATCTCCAGATACAATCTACGCGGAAAGGGATACCGTGGCACGCCTCCTTGAAACCGATTCAGTGCCATGGATTCCATCTATCTTTACCTTGAAGGAACCTGACACACAAAGAAACAGTTTTGTTGGGTATACGGTCCGAGGCGCGGGTTATCCATGTTTCATCTAGACTTTACTTACTTCACAGTACTAGGCTTATAATACGATACGCAGACAAAGAGAGAGAAAAGAGAAAGCAGACAATCCAAAACCATCAATCTCAAATGAAGAGAAAATAAAATGAAACGGATTAGGATAAATATCAAAAAGAGAAGGGGGTTTGGCTTGAGCTAGACTAGACTGAAAGGAAGAAAGAAAGAGAAGAAGAAGAAAAGAAGCCACGCTATCTAGATTTGGTGGAAAAAGAGGCAAACTTCCCTTCCTTTTTCCACATTCTGCTAACAAACTCTTCCCCACTTACCACCAACCACCGTGAATATTACATGGTTACCGAATGTAGTTACTTAGGTAGTAAGTCATACTACTATCATACTACTACTACTACTACTACTACTACTACTACATAGACTACTACTCACTTACTCGATTTGCTCAGATTTGTACGTAAGCTATGGGGTAACGGTGTTTGGGGGCCGAAAAAAATAGTACAGATAATTTTTCTCCCGTCTGGACGAATGATAAAAAGACACACAGCCTAGATCGCATACCATTTGTTCTGAAAGAGAAATAAAAAAAAAAAAAAAAGTGGGAAAACGATCAAAGTGGAGAGAAAGAATGGAAGGAAAGGAAGGAAGGAAGAGGGCGAAGGAGTGAGTAAGATTACTCGACTAAGAATGTCCCCGCAAAAAGCAGCTCGTTTTCACGGTGGGTACGAGTGATGCAAGTCAGTCCAAAGGTTAAGCGACAGCCGCGGCGCTATCCCATTGGCGTAGGAGGAGCCCATGAGTTACCGACACCTCGATTCTGGTTGGGTCCAGCAGGGAAAGGAGCGCTCCGAACCGTAGTCGCACGGCAGCTGATTGGCACACGGCGCGGGGACCATGGGCACCAAATCCCGGTGAATTTAGGTTCCCTTTTCTTCTCCTGCCGGTTCATGGTCAGCGGTACGCACCACCAGTGGTTGGGTCGCTCGGAGGATGTTCGGTTCCGGCGATAATACCTTGAGTTACCGTGCGGTGAGCGGCATGTGTACCGGGGCTCAAATTGCGCTGCGATACGGAGTAGCTTTTCTCGCGTCTTATTGGGTCGGCGGGGCCGCCAGCTATGTCCTTTCCATGGATCAGACCTCCTACTGGAGCTCATACGAAGGGGCATCGAAGGTCCCGGCCACATGGGATGATGGAGCAAAAATAATTAAAAGTGGCGATGGGAAAGTGTCCTCGCGCTTGAGAGATAGACAGAGTGGATTCAACCCTCTGCTTCTCTTGTCTCAAAATGCGTGCCCACCTAACCACGCTCTCCCCTCCGTCCTGTGGAAAGGAGTGGAGGTCACTATACACGGGCGGAATGGGAGGGGATCCATTAGGCGGTGAGCCTGGTTACCGGGATTACCGTCACGTTTGAACGAATTCTAGTGGCAAGCAGGGCGCTTCCACTTATGCATGATTACAGACACTGTATTCGAGGGCTGGTAACAGTGGTGCGGCTCCAGCGGTCACAGTGGGTATGAACACCCCGAGCACGACACCGTGTCGAGCTGAAAACAGATGAAAGGCCTGACTACCTTAAGTAAGTCCACAAGCTGATACCAAACCCACTACGAGGTTGCACCGACATGATAGGCTCGATCCGCGCTTGCCCACCTGCCGCTTCAGGCATCTTAATCGGGGGATATTGTGGCGGTGTCGAGCACGACGATGAGATAGTAATCTTGAACCAGGTTGCAAAATGCTTGTGTGCGTCCTTGTGCAATGACAAATTAGGCTGACATTCACCCCCTATCAAAGGAGTAGTAGTAGTAGTACTGTGTATGCCTCTGGATCAAGTCGCATGTATGATGCGTAAGACCATCCTTTGGCGTTGGCCCTGTGACAAAGGAAGGCGTTTAGATATTTAGTATGAGCGAGCGGCGCCCCCCTAGCTTCAGTTAGTTGATAAAGGGAAGGGCCGTGAGACACACTTTTAGTGGGGAGTTCTAAGTTTCCCAGTGCTACAGCCTTGGGACGGCGCCAGACGGGCATGACCATGGCCCGATCGGTAGCGATTGAAAATAACTTGCATTAGCGTCACCCGGTTCAATTTCTGTCGAGCGGGAAACGGTCATAGGTATTGGGGGACGTGGTACGGGATAGTCCTAGCCACAACGTTTTTTCCCTTCTCGGAGAGATAGCACCCGTGTCCTGGAGCCTGGGATCGTGTGTGTTTGTGTTTGTGCGGGGTCCGGTGACATATCCAGGATTTAATGAAGTAATGGGAATGGGGCCAGCCAACATCCTTGTTTTATGTCGCAATGGCCAAAGTGGTGTTCTTTTTTTTTTTTCTTGAGGGGAAAGAGGTTCCAAACCGGTGAATCTGACAGACAGGCAGACACAGATGCACCCACTGGGCACATGGGAACGGCAAGGGAGCTAGTCTCTAGCCCATCATGGGTAGGTGCTTAGTGGAAGTTAGAAGACGTGGCTGGCAACGACGATTCGCTGTGGAGGCAGAGTCATCACCGCTCTCATCCGCAACAAGTCCAAGCATCTGCAACCTAATCACACTGAGATAGCACGGCCAAGTGCGAACCCCTTTGTGTTCCCACCCTCCATAATCCGGCGAGTCCATCATTAACTGATTATCTCTTGCGTAGGAGATCGGGGATTGGGTGCATGAGTCGTCAACGTAGACGAAGGAAGCAGCAGCATGACATCAGTCGTCGGTATCGTGTGACAGCAGTAAATTCCGTTTTTGAGGAGCGCTGAAATAACATTTTCTTTAACAAGGTTTTGTCGTAGGCATTTCATTTCTTTTATCCCTTTTATTTAATTTGTTCTATGGTTTTTTTTACCCCTCTCTTTCGCGGCCGTCATCACTCCCATAGTGAATCTTTAATCTATTCTAGTCTGGTAACTTGTCCACTTAGCTTGTATTTTGTGGCTGGAAACTAATTTGGTTAGCTACGGCCTGAGAAGATACCCTCCTTTAACTACGACGATACGAGAATCGCTTTATCCAGCAATTGAGCATGAGCCGATATGGATTCAAAGATTTAGAGAAAAGATAATCGCAAACGAATTTTGGCTCTCGAGCACACAATAATTCCCAATCCGACCATGACGGGGCGTCAGCAGAACAAGATTGTCGGAATTGCACGGTCGCAAACGGAGCCGAGGATTGGTGCTGTGACCCGGATGCAGAGGCGCTTGTGTCAGGGCGTTGGGCAACCGGCCCCCCTATCATCGTCGCCCTGCTAGTCATTCTCCTGGTCATGTCCACGACGGGCCGCCCCGACTCCCGCCGATCTTATGCAGGAAGTGTAGTGTGTGTGAGAGAGACAAAGTGTGTGAGTGTATGTCTTGGAGTGTGTGAGAATGCGAGGACCATGTTATCCAAGTCATCCTCTTTCCTCATTCGGAGTCCACTACATATGACGGTTACTACTAGGGATGAAAAAGGCAATTAATGTCAGCAAGCTGTCTCAGGATAGTCAACCATCTCTGTCAATGCGCTTTGGCGGGCCAAATGAATGGCACTCGAGCCTTCCTTCCACTTCCAGCTTGCAACACCCTCCAGCCTCAATGGCCCCTTCGCACCTTCCAATCCTTACGCTTCCCTTCTCTCTGTTTTCCCCTTCCCCCTCCTTCACCTTCTAGATCCACCTTCTGTCGCTCCTCATCTCTGTCACTGAGTACTAACGACTTGCGTTTCTTGATGCGTGTGGTTTCGCTTTCTTGACCTACAGCGAGAAAGCTCATCCATTGCTTCTTGAACAGTATAGATAAGAGTCCTCGTCTCGCACACACCCCAATGACTGGAAGAAACCCAGGTAAGGTGCTCCCACATTAGCACACCGCACAAGGTCCATGCAGCTCGCTCATATCATGCAAGTAGATTAAGGATGCTACAACAAACCAGAAGAATTGCGTTTTCCCGCTTGCTGTTCCACATGTTGAACTGTCAGAGCCCAGCCCAGCCCAGCCCAGCCAGCCTCACTTTTTCGCCCATACAACACACATAATATTGCTTCCTCCTAAGGGCCCAAACAAATGGAGATGGCTTTTGGCTTGGGGGCCTGAGGGTGGTGGTATCTTTTGCTTTGGTACCATACAAGCGGGAACGGAAACAAAAACAGAAACCGAAACCAAACCGGCGGCCGGAAACGCGGTAATACTATAACCGGTAATAATGCGGCGTTACGACGGTCGCAACTGGGGGCGCGCTATAATTTCATTTCCTCTTTAGCTCATTACCTTCCCTAACTGGTGCATTGCCCTTTCCTCTCCTTCGTCCATTAGTCTCCCTTGCCACGTTTTTCTCGACCCTCAGCGGCCCCGTGCATTGGCGTCCGCGTCTTTCCGTTGCCGCCTGAACCCACCATCACCTGCGTGGTGGGCTCTATTTTTTTTTTTTTTTTTTGTTTTTCCCCCTGGTTGTCGTTGTCTCCGGTATCTCCAGGATCCAGCTCCACCGTGACCAACGCCGATTCTTCTTGGCCGCCAGCAACGTCCATGGTTCTATGGTGGCTGGTGATCTTTGGGCGCAGGGGTTCGAGGAAGTACTTCCGCGGCCCAACTTGGGGCATCCAGTCATCATGCGTCATCATCGTGATGATGCTTGGTTGTTTGTCCACCATGGGAGGCAACATTGAGACTGCCAGAGAATGGTACCAAGAACCTCTTGAGATACTACTGCAGGAGGTATTAGGAACCAAGGTACTACTCCTACGTGTAGGTAAGTAAGGTACCTTACTACTCTCCAAGTCTCCGAGAGCAAAGCACGAAGCTTCGGGGCAATTGGCCAGGCCGGAGAGCCGCGTTTGTCGGTGGGAAGGCGGTCTGGAATCCTTCCACTTGGGATCTAATCATCGTTTGGACCTGAACAGTATTAGTTTACCGCCGGCAACGGGAAGAGCAAGACGGGAAGCTCGCCATGCTAACTGGGATCATCGATCAGCCCGCATACGGTTACGGTCACGTGACGACAGGGGGGCCTATGAGCAGGCGCCCTGGGTCAGCCCATCACAACATCCTCGCCCGTTTTGGGGCTGGCGTGGCTGTCGGAAACAGTCGGTAATGCATCCATGGCGGGATGACAGAGCGATTGGCCTGGGGTGGTGGTTCAGTGGCTTGGCCCTAAGGAAGAAGGAGGCACAGAACCAGGTTCACCTCCCGACCTGTCTGTGCTCGCTCGGGTAGAAAGTGTGTCTGTGGGCAAAGTGCGAGCGATCTTCCCTCACATTATGACGTGGCGAAACGAGCAGACAAACAACTCCAGATGGCCCTGCTAGGCTGCCCTGCCACCCTCCGATCCAAGGGGAGAGATCTGGGCTTTCAGCGCCACGAACTTGCACCAGAATCTCTCTTCTGTCCAACCCCCATCTCAGTTCTGGATTAATTCGGTTCGGGTCGGTTCGAGTCGCGCATCTGACCCCCTGCACATGGGAACATCGTGTGATAAAGAGCCTGGGAATCCAGGTGTGACAGCCTGTACGAGGGCTCTGGGTGGTACACTTAACACTCCCCGTCCAGGCGTCCCGTCGCGTGACGTTGGGATGGGAGGTTAGGCTCGGGAAGAAGAGTCTGGTGACCGATGCCTGATCTGGTAGGGATGGCTTGTAACCACTTGACTCGCTAATGCGCATTTCTCTACCCTCTTGGGCCCTAAGCCGTCAAGGTGGCAAAACCGAAGCAGATGCACACAGGCCACACAACCCTCGAGATCCCCGCTCGCAGAACTAAACGATCAGATTCCCCTACATACCCCTTCGGTCTTTAGTGCTCACAGTCACGGGCGATGCGGGCAATTTCCTCTTCTTTCTAGCCTAAGTTAACTCCAGCGTCCCAACACGTTGCTAGCTGGACATAGAACGCGATGGAGATTAAGTTACTTGGAGCAATAATCAGCTGGTGATGGAATTGCTCAATTCCGCACCATAGTCCTGCTTGCCGGATCTGCTGGCAAGATACATGGGTAGAGCACCCCGGGGGAAGTGGGCTCTCGTAACCAGCGACCAAGGATCTACCGCAAAGCACCCGACGACACATCACATTGCTGATTTTTGCTCCAAGTAACTTAATCTCCGGGCGCGGTCATCAGCCGCAGTCAACCAACCTTGATCACAGTAGGAGTGTACACTCTGCCTTGGGGCCAGCTGTATGCAAGGGTGGAACAATGGCAGCCGGTACTCCTTGTTTCCACCATCTTCTTCCATCATCTCTTCTCCTAGAGAGGAGAGGGGATGGGTGGGATTGCATCGAAGCAGACCCAAGTTCACGTCGGATGAATAGGAGCCAGCGACACCAGCAGCGCGCTATCTAGATTAGGATGTAAATCTTCGAAAAAGCAAACATGCGTCTAGGCCGTCAAGCTCACTGCACGATTGTAGGGAGCCCAAAGTACGAAGTATATCTCCTCTTTGTTAATGACATGGTCCTGATCCCTGCCAACCACTTTACAACCTCAAATGTTTTCTACGGTGTGCTCCTCTACCAGTAAAGGGAAGTAAGAGGAAGGGTACAATAATGGTACACAACCAGCCAACTACACTGTGTCCAGGAAACGACTTCCGTGCCAGGAATAAGAGAAAGGTTGCCAGTCTGCGATTAGTTCTCTTCAGCTCGATTGGGCCCGTATTATTGAGTTGCGCCATCAACTCTTTGTTTGGCTCCAATTACCGAAACAGGTATGACGTTTACTATTTCCGCGTGTCCTCGAAATCGGGGGTATTTTTCATTTACTTTTCTGCGTCTGTATCATTGTTTCTATCTTGTCTACCCCTCCTCCTCTCATGCTAGTTAGGCAGGTAGAGAACGAGGGGGTGGGACTTTGTACACACCTATGTGCCCGGGGAGAAGAAGGAGGAGGAGGGGATGGTAGTTTCTAGTCTCCATTGGAGAGATGAAGAGGGGAGAGGGGGGAAACAGAGGCTCCACAGGCAATAGAAGCAAATACACTTAAGCATATCGAGAGATATCGCGGATCCAGTGCTAAGCGTAGCCGAACAAAGATATCGTCCATACAAAAAGAGTTTTGAGCACGGATATCGCGCATAATCTAGATGGGCCCCACGGCGCACACAATGAAGGCTCAGATTCCGCGTCTCTTTTCCACCCTGGCGCGCTTCCTCCACTGCGGATTTTGTCACCGCTTCTCAAGGGAGTCTCGCTCTTACGGTAGCGAAAATGGGGGATGAGAAAGGGGGACGAATCAAGAAGAAGATGATTGAGCTCCATTGAGGGGAAAAAGAGCGATGATCGCCTATCGAGACCAGAAAGGGAAGTTGGGCAAAGCGATGGGCACTGGGTAAACGATGGGATGCGCGCCTATTGAGCGGAATGCCCCGCCAGTAGTGTGGACAATGGGTCGAATCATGGCCGATCGTCGACAAGCACAAAGTTTCATGGCTTGCAGACAACACAACTTTGTAGAGTCCGGGAGAAGGAATTCGCAGGGCGCTATGGAATTGCAAGTGCTGATTCGGAGACCTCCCTGTCGGGGTGGGTTGTCTCTCCAGCTATTCTTGTGCGGCACACCCACCACCCCCTTTTCCACTATTTCCCTTCTGTGTCCCGCAAGCTTACAGCTGTCTGGTTCGAAGAGGATATGCTTCCGACGTAGCATTGGCTAGACCGGGGAATGTCAACCTGGGGAGAGGGGCTGTACAAATCCTCCCCCACTCAGGTCTTACAAGACGATGGAGCGAAACAAGGAATTGTGCGTTAGCCATTTGGGCACTGATGCAGAGTACGGATGTTTGCTTCAACGGGACGAGGGGAGGCAGTGGCCTGTGAGAGTCAAGTCATAGACGAATTCGCACTCGTGCAGAAGTGGATAACCTGCTGCTGCTGATAGATGGCCAACGTCGTGGAGCTAACGGCACGTCCGACGGCCCGGCTGCGGCGCGCGGACAGCAGGCCATAACATGCACGTCAGTAGTATCATCCTGAAGGCCTGAATCTCAAAAGTCCCGCGCATTCCTTGGGGGTCATTGGCACGATGGCCATCATCATTGGGGGATGAGAACTGGCGGTAAGGGAATCCCGGGACTAGGTGTTGGAGTATGCCAGGTCCTTAGCGCAGTAAGGAACGAAGGTCGTACCGATTTTACAGGAAAACCGGCCAAAGGGAAGCAAATGTGGTAGCATCCTGAACCTCATGGATCCGGTCGAGAGCCAGAGAGACTGCAGACCAAAGGTACACCACGCAACCATCCGTAACGGGAAGGTTAATACCATCCACAGGGCAATTTGAAGGAGAGACAATATGAGTGGAGATGGAGACACGACGTTACTCACATACAAAGGCCGAAATCTACACACGAGACCAGCGAGTATGGGAGGTCCTGGAGTTTCTCATCCGGGAATATGATCCCCAACCATGAGTCACCCATCCCATCCCTTCCGAGGCTGAACTGTTTTCTTCCTGCACTGGATCAGACGTGACGATGCTATTGGAGTACGTGACCTGTCGGATGATATTTCTTGAGGTCAGTTACGAGATTTCCACAACACGACAAAGGCTTTTGTCGCGGCACTTGGACCATCCTCCGAGTACAACTGGTTGAGGGGTGGGTAACATTGCGCCCGAAGACACACCGCTGGGAGGCTAGGTAGGGAAAGGGAAAGAGGAGGGGCAAGGGGCACAGTGGAAAGGGCCTTGTAATGATTGATACGGCAACTAAAATCCAATAGACGCAGGCGCGGGCAGGCGGGGAGGGGGGCGCAAAAAGGCTAAACAGCGAGGGAACAATAGGTGGTATGGCTTACGAAGGGTTCCATGATCCCAGTCAGAGCTGTCATCCTCTCTTGTGCATACTGGAACCAAACTCTCCCCTCCTCATCTGCGAGAGACGCGTCGATGGTGAAACAACGAAGATGGAGCAGCTGGATATTATCATTATCGACTTGGTAGCCCTAGGCAGACAAGAAGCTCTCCCAGTATCGTAATTGGACGAAGCGGAGACCCGCCGGGACGGCGGCAGGTTCTGAACCATGGAAACAAATGAGACGGTGCAGAAAACTCTTCGAGACCAAAGCACTTTGGTGGGACGGCGCAGGCAATTACCGTGTCAGAACCAAGAACTGAACAGCATCTTGGGACGTCGAGACTAGAGGAATGAATCTAGTGATCCACCGACGGTCTTGGGCGGACACAGCCAGCAAGTGCAATAATCAATCCACCCAGCGTGGCCCCAGGGTGCAGAGCCGGAGCGCAGACACGGTTCGGGTAGGCCCAGTCGGAGGGTCCCGTTCGCGGCTGCGCTTACACCTCCAACCCAGAACACACGGCAGACCTGCCATCACAGGTAGCCAGGAGGTCGTCAAATGCATCCCCATTCTGGCGTGTTCCCCTTTTTATGGGATCGGAGGCCATCAATCCTAGATGCGGCGATTCTCGTCGAGATGGCTCTGGCCTTTTCCCTGCAGTCTTTGAAGCCGAGCGATGTCATTTTCCCTCATGCGGGAGTGTGTGACAGCTCGGAAGTGGCCGTCGGAACTGGTAAACATCCTCCCATGGGATGAGCTCACCATCTGGCGCCAATTTGCCATCTCTCATCTTTGCCGCTCTTGCTCAGTTTTCTCAAGTGATGATGGTATATATATACCTGGGATAATGTTGACGTCCATGGTCTCGATCAGATGAGACGTAGTGGCAAATAACACTGACGAACCAGGAACCTCCTTAAATGTCACCAGGGACCGCCCCAGGTACAAGCCTCCATTGAGCGCGGTGGAAATACAGATTCAAGAAGATCACATTGCGATCACTGTCATGGCCATCCAACATCCGCCAGACAGGGCGTAACTTGGAGACGTGAGGGAGGGCCACATGGGCCATCTCTTGGGTGAGGTTTGCTCATTGTGTTTGCAGAAATCCTCCACAACTGATCTTTTATCATTCAGCCTTGTACTGGACTTCTGAAAGCGTAAAGGTTTCGTCCTCAAAACTGCTTTTAAGTCGTTCAAGATTAAGCCGATTCGCCTCGAAGCTTAAGATTTTCAGCCTCATGCCTCTAGTTATTGGGGTTCAATCCCAGCAAATTTCTGTTAGCCGCTATTGCTTCTTACAAGACCACCTGATCAGAGGAAGCCACGTTTGCAGCTGAATAACCCACCGACGTCCCTCGAAGAATAGCGCCGATTTCCAAGTTCAGCATATCGGGAAATGATAAACAGCAAAGAAAGAAAGCTCAAAGTGATGTAACAAATGGTCTTGGATGTTGCGATCAGAGTGAAGGATCTTCTTGGTTGCTGGACGACACGAGCGAGGCGCATGGGTCGAGAGTGACTGCGACCGTGGCGTATGCGTTCTCTCGTATCTGCTAATTCGTCGAGAAAGCAATTTTTCGGGTTGGAATAAAACGTAGTAAGTAGGTGCATTCCCCTTTACCTGCACAGAACCTGACGAGGGGCTTAGCTGACGCCAGTCTCAGCATAGTGCAGAATATGCTCATAGCCTAGTGGCGGCGAACTGTATCTACTCGCATTTCACGGTTAGCTTGACTAGCCTCGAGTAGCATCACTGAAGATAAAGTCGAAGTGATATCGTTAGAAATACACATTCTATCATACCTTATCTGGTGTGAAATTCATGCTGAATCTTATGTCTCTGCGTATGTCAAGTGTCTAGAGCAAGACATATCGATAACGGCTTTTCCGCAGTCAATTTCCTCGAGCGGCTGCCTTGCACCTTCACTCACGAGGTCTCTAACAGGTAACTTTGGACTCGAGCTGTCCTTCGAAGAGCATACCAGTGAGCGTCTCAAACAGTTCCAGGATTATTTGAATGGTAGCCCGCTTTTTGCCCTGCAAATAGCTCAGGTCCGTTTTCAGTCTGAAGTGTAACGACTTCATCTGCACATGTTGGGTTTGATGATACATTTACATCGCCCCTCAAGTCTCAGCGAGTTCTTGCGAAAAGGACTATAATAGTATGATTGCAGGGGAGGTATTGTCCTGGTAGGCAACTCCTTCTGGACTTGTCACTTTAGCTTTGTCGATGAATATCCCTCTCCCAGGGGCCCAACAAATTGCGAGGCTCTCCTACCATAAGAAATGAGCCTATGGTGGAGGTGGCTGTGTCAGCTTCAACGTCTCCCACCTTTTCCCGCCTCTGACCCATTCAACAAAGCATACGGGCCCTGTTTCCTCCTTTTCACTTATCTTCTTCTCAGTGCACTCTTGGGGGCTCCGAACAATTATCACTTGTGGTTTAGAGTAGTTGCGCTCGATAGCTCTGCTCTTCCACCGGAGGATGCGGGGAATGACGTGTCTGGGTTGTTGTGGCTAGCGGAATCCGGTGCAGGAGACACTGCAAAGGCTCGGGCTTTCGCTCGCCGGGGAATTGTTATTTGAAGATATTTGCTTTTTATCGCTGTATTTTGGTAGCTCTCTTAGGGGCGGTGTCATCGTACTTTTGTTCCTTCAAACCCTTTCTGGAGAATTCGGACAGTCTGGCAGACGCGCGCCTTTTTTTTTTGGCGCCGGACACTAGAGCTGCTGCCGAAGCGGGAACGGCCCGAGACGATCGACTAGGCATGGATAGGACTTGCGCACTGTTTGGTTTGGTGATTCGTACAGATTTTTAAGTTGCGCGCAAGGAGGTTTACCGGCGGGTAACACTAGCTACTAAGGTATGCCTTGATGCAAGATCGGATGAATTAGAAGAGATATCGAGGGATTCAATGACGATTATGAGCCGTTCGGACGCTATTAGACGAATTCTTTGACCCTGGTCCGGGTACGGGTGTACTCCGTAGCTAGCGACAGATTGACTTTCAGGTGGTTCGACGCGGACAAAGGGACCGGGAACTGAGACCAGAAGGCTGGTAACTTCTGGGGCGCTTTTCGCGTGGGAAAAGCGCGGGTGACTTTCTTTGCTTCCCGCACCGCTAAACTTAGTGCGTTCTCTCGGGAAGTCGACGTCAGGTTCGAGAAGGATTTTGCAGTTCCACAAGGGTGACAAGGCCGTATCAATCAACCAGCCAACAAGGACATATACTTTGCTGTAGTCCTAAATCGAAGTGAGGCATTGGGACTGGAAATCCCTATCGATCCACTCAAATTATCAGCCTTACGCTTCATCGTTCGGAAGGCAAGAGATAGTGGGGGTGTTAACAAAGCAAAGGACCCCTCTAGCGGCCCTTGATCTCTAGACTGCCCATAGTAGTTCATTCCCAACGGTTATTGCATGCGTTCGTTCGAAGGAATCCCAGATAAGCAAGAACCCAATAGTGAACGAAAACACGACAGACCTACCCATGGAAACCTCGTTGACAACCATGATCCCGGAGGTTTTTGAATCTCGCAAGCGCAAGATTCTCGCAGACCTGTCCATCCCCGACGCAGAGTATACTGATCTGTCGCCGAAGGGCTCTGTGGATGAAGGTATTCGCGTCCTCATCAACGATATAAATACCCTGCCAGGGTTGGTGACCACTAGCAGCTGTGCGGGAAGGATCAGTGTGTTCCTGGAGGGGCGAAAGAAGCAACAGCAGCAGCAGCAGCAGCAGCAAGCGGTGTCAGACGAGCAGCAACAGCAGCAGAGGCAGTTCGTACCATCCGGGGGCAAAGGAGCAGGAAAGTGGTTATATGTGTCTCATGAGCCCTTGCAAAAATATGGGAAGGTGCGAGAAAAAGAGCAAGAGCGCCAGCCACTGCATGAGTTGTTTGGGATGATCCCTGGGGATGGCAGGCCTCCCGGGTTGAACAAGGATGGTCAGGCCCCGCGTCTCGTGCGCTTCTCTTTTGAGCCTATGGTATGTCCTTCCCTGCCCCTCTTTTGTTCCCTGCTGGTCCCTGTTCTGTGGGTATCATGGCCACTGTGTATTCCTGTCATGTCACGGGTTGTCCGGGTTCTTAGTGTCAGCCTTACTACTGTTGACCTCCTACTGCCCCCGTAAGCTATGTGAGACTTGCGTTCAGACAGCGAGGCACGTACCTTGTTCTCAAATCCTCACATACTGACAAACTATTCCAATAGATCCTCCATATTATGGCAGCAACACTACACCATGCTCACCCCGTGCTATCTGCCGCTTCAACCTCCGGCTTTCGAGAGAGCGGACTGCAGAGTCTCCGTTGCTTAGAAGCAAATGACATTGAGGGCCCAAGTCCCATCGTCGCTGTGCGATCTGCCGGTCTCTCATTGGAGTCTGTCATCGGGTACTGCGAAGAAACCGATGACGACAATGATGACGGAGGAGAACCCATTATCCGCAGTCTGGTCACAGAAGAGTTTCTTGAAATGCTGGTTAATATTTCGAATGAGAGATTCGCTGTGAATTCTGAACGTAAGGAGAGATTTCGCACGAATTTGTTAGATCTTTGTTCGACGGATCACCATCAACATGGCGCAAAAGGGAGAGGAAAATCAAAGCCCCCTGGTTGGGAGGATCCGGAGAAGCGAAGGGAGAGGATGAGGGCAGAAGGACTGTTGAGGAAGCAGCTTGCGCAAAATCAGAGAAAAGAAGATGATGTGGATTTGGATTTGTCTGGGGCAAGTCTGGAGTGATGAAGGCTCCCGATTTGGCTTTTTATTGGCTATTTATTTAAATCAAATACAACGGAAATTGGGCTCGAAATAGTTTATGCATAGAAATAAGAAGAAAGGGAATCAATCTCAGTCGCACGATAATATCTCAGTAGAAGAAGGAAATTCGTCGAAACTTGGCCGTATGTAGAGTTGTTTCAGTGAAAAATGAACGTCAGAAGCAAACAGCAGAGCAAGGAGAGCACACAATGGTCCAAATGAGAACGCAAGCCGGTTATGATCCCAAATCACATCGCACGAAATCGCTAAATCCAACCATTTGCATAAATCAAAGTATTCCGTAAGTCATGATCGTATCTGCAATTCTCATCAAGCTATGACAGCTCTCTTCTGGTCCAAGGCGGCAACACCAAGATGAGAACAGAAACTAATATCCGCAGATTTTGAACTCTGTCCAGAAGGGAATTTAGGAAAGACAGTACCTGTTCAGAAAACGCGCAGCACAGCATATCCTCAGCATTCTTACTTCTGCCTCTGCGGACATCACTGGTTTAGATCCTTGAGACAGTTGGGCGATGAATGGGTGATGCGGTGACTAGGAGTTCGGAACCTGTTAGGCGGGCTAAAGAACACCTTCTGACTCCAAACGCCTTCGGTATCAAGAAGAACGCTGCCGCTGTTCCAGCATTCGCTGGCACGACGCGATGAGGCCTGCAAAATGCTGACCCGGGACACATTCTCGTTTCGTGGCACACTTTTATCAGTGATTGGAGAGGTGGGAGAAACATTGCTTGAGGTGCTGGTCATCGAAAGTGGTCTGTGGATTGTTCCCATGGAGCCGCTCTGAAGAAGACAGTTGAGCACATTGGTTTCACGATTAACGGCGTCAACCCAAAGAGTATTCTTAGCGACATCGGTTGGCCACTCAAACCAAATGCGACCGAAGGGTGATAGGAGAGTGGTATTGTCTTCAGGGAAATTGTTCGGGAACTCGCGGCAGGCGCCCTCGAATCTACCGTTTGCGATGACGTTGGCATACAACTGCTGCAGCTATCAGTGGAAAGAAATAGTGGGCGAAGAATGCATGACTAGACAGCACGCCAAGAAGAGTATGGACAGACTAATATAGTTCTGGAAGGGGACATACCGCGCAGGTGTCATAATCAAAGCCAGGCAAGTAGACCAGAGTATCGAAGGGGAACCACTTGCTCATGTCTCCCAACTTGAGAATTTCGCTTTTCTCGCCGGCGTGAATGCAAAGGGTATACTTCTGGCGCTCATTAAATACAGGGCAATTTAGACCGGCGTAGAGGAGCTCGCGAAGCAGACGTTGGTCAAGCCCAACGGTCTTGGTCTTTTCCATCCGTGACACCAGAGAACGTATGTGGCGGTTTGTCAACTCGAATAGCTGGTTACGGTCGTGCACGGTGTACATGTCGGTTGCATACCAAGGAAACTGTGCTCTGTCAGAATACTATCACCTTCAGCTGAATAAAACTCTACCTTATAGAGCGTGCTTATGGTAGATTCGTAAGTACGCTGCGGACACTTGGCACCGAAGGGAGACTAAGAAGTTGTTAGACATTGCTGCTATAAAATGACACCGGCTGAAGGACTTACACGTTGAGGTATTTCAGCATGACGAATGGCGCCGATGATCTCTTCGCTGGTAAAAAAGCCAGTAAAGCCGGTGGAATATCTATCAGTATTCTCCACAACCTTAGGCGTACCATTTTCCCAGCTGATGCACTTTGCACGTGGAAACAAAACTTTCAGCAGTTCCTCTTGGTTGCTGAGCTCAACTTCAACGTGTCTATTGCCGAGTCGAGGCGCACGCCCACACTCATAGATTCGGTTGATTCGGTTCGCCGTCTCTTCAGCATCTTCAGTCGAAGCAAACTCCACAAAACAGTCCATCGTCTTAGCAGTGGGACGTTCCATGATTATGTGTACTGCGTGGCCTGGAACAAGTCGTGCCTGTCTGCCAACAAACTGGAAGATCTCCTGCTTGGTGATGGAATAGGGGATCTGGCCCAAGGTTAGTAGACGTCGCCGAGAATCGAGTCAGCCAGTCACTCACGTTTGAAATTTTGATGACGCCCCAGATAGGGGGTTCCATGTAGCGGACCAAGCTCCCGTATGGCACCTCGTTGGGCGGAGCAGCTCTGCTAGTGGGGTTGGGATATCCTGCAAAATTCACGTGTGGTCCAAGCTTATGAATGCCGTTATTCATCACAGGGATGCTGGAAGAAGTCAAGGGAGTGGTAGAGGGGCATGGCTGTTGGAGCTGACCTGGTTGAACAGGAACCGGGGTGAGGCGATTCGTAGCAAAAGGGATACAGACAGTGTCAGTAGATGGGCTTGGGGCGTAACCTAGGAAAGGATCGTAATACACATTTCTTGGGGCGACAGGATCGTAGTGAGGTTCATGAGGCCTGGGGAGAGTGACGGGAATCCTACCGAAAGGAGGCATATTGAGCTTGCGAGAAGGAGGGTTTTGTCTGGAAAACACCATATTCAAGGCTGTATGGCAGTCAAGAAAGAAAGTGTGAGGGCGAGGAAGAGGAAGTGCGAGGGGGGAAAACGAGATAAGGGAGCGAAAAGGAAGGTGAAGTAAACAACCTCAGTGAGAGAAGGATGGGAGATGATTGAGAGGATAATCCGGTGGAGGGGAGGAGGATCTGTATTTGTTACCCTACACGCGCTGCCACATCTGCTAATTCACTGGACCCTTTGTATGTGAGAACTGCTACTCAGCTGAAGTGTTACTCGAATATCATCTGATGATCAGTGTGCAGGTAATGTGGAGAGGTATCTGAATGGCATCCATGAACAACAGCAATGTAATGACAGTGAAAGCCATCAGAAGAGCCATGTGCCCAGCGGGCCTGGTTAATAGAAGAAACACATGTCCCTGATGAGATTCCCCGGGACCCGTCGACTGCAGAGGGAGATGCGGATCCTCTGTTCACTGTTTAGGTGGAAAGGCAAGAACAAGGTAACTTGCTTTTCATGCTGCCACTCTTGTTTGCATTTGCCGTCTTACTACTTTGTGCAAATGGAACACACCGTACACTGTGAGAGAATAAACAACGGGTCGACCCGGTTGAAGCTCAGAAGATGAACTCTCCCGGTCTAAATGTGATCATCTGCACTGTCATGGCAAGCAGAAGGATCTAGGAAGGTAAATCATACTGAGACTTACGGCGGCCATGGTCAGACTCAGCTGTACACGATACAGAGTGTCCAGTTCTAGGTAGCCTGGCTATCCTTATAATGGATGTACTGGTCGCTACAAATTTGATTTCGAGATATAATATGGACGACTGCAGAAAGGAACAAGCATCAAACTTCTGTACAAGAATTGTTCCTGAGAGGAAGGGGAAATCAAGGTCATGTGCCAACCATGAAGCTAGGGCGATCTAATCAAACTGTAATTTTATCAGCCAGGTTCAGCTGAAGTAGCCAGGGCGACTTACCGGTGTCAAGAACGACTCAGCAACGAAACGAGCACGAGCATTCAACTACAGCAAATGTGGGTTAGAAGCCTCCATCAATCAGATGGACATGGACACATACGAAGAGCTTCATTTCCGAGATTTCCTTATCCACTTCCTCCATACTATTAGACGAAGAAATCGTTAGCCTCTCATTGATCGAATGACATATGGACAAGGCAGATGAAACATACAATTGAATGATGAAGTCCACCAATTTGTGTTTCAGCATCTGTTCAGTATGGAAGTTCGTAATGAGGAATGAAATGTCATATCCCTTCACTGGCTTTCTCCGTAGAATGAAGAAGGATTCCGCGCGCTGCGTCAGGAACCTAGTGAACTTGTGGACCAAGATATGTTCGATCTCATCTGCCTGCTTGATTCGGATGCTGACACGGACACTGTTCACGCTGGGCTCGATAAGGACCCTCTCGTTCTCATTCCGGGAGATTGTAAGGGGGTTGAGAAGTAGTTCCGGAGAAGTTGCGGCTTCAATTTCGGGGACATTGCTATCCAGATACATAATTAGCCTGGTCCGACCCAAAAGGGTGAGGGGATGGGAACCGGCCCAACGTACTGTCTTTCGGAGGTTTGAGAAGCGAAGTTCGATATCGCGAGTGCTGCCGTCAATGAAGATCTAACAGCCAAAAGGTACGGACGCAATGATTGAGACTGGTTCTGTTAGCTTGGATTGTAAACCGATCCCCTGGACAAGGTTGATAATCACCATGATGGGGGTTGTGACGTATAGGCGGCGCCCCGGAGTGCTGAGTAGGAGGTTTCTGGCGAGCTTAGTGAGATGGTAATTGTCAAGAATGTAAGTCAGGCACGGATAGCAAACAGAGAATCCGCGTTCAAAGTGTCAGAACCCCCCAATGAGTTTCAAAGCCTAAACTACCAGAGCGGGCGTCACCTAGGTACCTGAATAGCTGCGTCAGGAGCAACGTCCCGCCGCCCGGCGGCGATGTAGCCTGTAGTACGGCGGACGATAGCGGCCAACCGGTTCCAGTATTTTGCCGGCAGAATCAGTTAACGCTCCACATAGCCAGCGTAGAGATAGTCTATATAATTGGACATGATTTTTCTTGTTTTACATGTATACTAGATATAAATTAAAGAAGATAGATAGAGTCTCTACTTGGGTCCAATTTTCCTAAGGAATACCAGATTCTGCCAGCCTCTAAGCCTGCCGGGCCACCACCAATTAGTAGTTAGTGGGGAGAGAGGGGTGAGCTATTAGTACTTCCAGACAAAGCGGTGAAGTTTCGGGGGAGCATATTTGCATAAGGGTTGCTGTAGTTCGCCGTAGTACGGCCGCCGTTTGCCCCACGCTCTCTCCGGCGATGACTGACGCAGTCGTTGTTTACGCAACTGCATCCTACCGCCAGACCTTAGAGGAGGCATCAATCGCATCCAAGAAGGACCCTTGAAACAAGTCACAATGGCTTCTATACCTGGTAAGTATCTTTAGGGCCGTATGCTCCATTCCACTCTATCTTGTTTCTTCTCCGCTGATCCCATGACGCAGTTGTTGTAAAGCACCAGGGCAAACGCTACGAGGTGGAGCTCGATCCTTCCCTGAATGGCGAAACGCTCAAATACCAGCTATTTTCTCTCACTGGCGTCGAACCCGAGCGGCAGAAGATCCTAGTCAAGGGAGGCCAGCTTAAAGATGATACACCTCTGTCCTCCCTCAACGCCAAACCCGGCCAAACGTTCATGATGATGGGCACTCCGTCGGGCGGTCAAGGTGCTGGAGACTTGGGTAGACCAAAGGAAGTCGTCAAGTTTTTGGAAGACATGACGGAAGCTGAAGCTGCCAGGGCGGAGGGTGCAACTCCTGCAGGTCTGCAGAACCTTGGAAATACTTGCTACCTGAACTCAACGCTACAGACACTACGGAGCGTTCCCGAACTCCAGGATGCGCTGCTCAAATACCGACCTTCTGGGGGCTCTTCTGGAGGTTCTAGCCTTTCGAACCTCAGTAGTCTCGGTCTTGGCGGCTTGGGAGCTTCTATGGATCTCACGTCCTCTCTGCGGGACCTCTTCAAGCAAATGTCGGAGACGCAGGAAGGTTTCCCGCCGCTTATGTTTCTCAACGCGCTTCGAAATGCTTTCCCCCAATTTGCTCAAAGGGATCGCAATGGACATGGCTATGCTCAACAGGATGCCGAAGAGGCCTGGTCACAGATCGTGAGTCAGCTGCGTAACAAGCTGGTCGTGAAGGAGGGTGAAGGTGACTCTGCCGCCGAAGTTTCCTTCGTGGATAAGTACATGGCCGGAGGGTTTGAGTCCACCACCGAATGCGACGAAAAGGCCGCAAAGGAGGCTGGTGAAGAACCTACTAATAGCTCCGATGTGTTTTACAAGCTTGATTGTCATATTGGTAAAGAGACTAACCATTTGCACGACGGTATTATGGCTGGTCTCGAGGAGAAGATCGAAAAGCGGTCCTCTACTCTTGACCGCGATGCCGTATATACCAAACGTTCACGCATTGCGCGCTTGCCCAAGTACTTGACGGTGCATTTCGTTCGGTTCTTCTGGAAGCGCGAAACACAGAAGAAGGCCAAGATTATGCGAAAGGTCACATTCCCCGCTGAGCTTGATGCGGTGGACTTCTGCACCGACGAATTGAAAAAGCAGCTCATTCCTGTGAGAGACAAGGTCCGTGAGATTCGGAAGGAAGAGGTGGATGTTGAACGTGCTCGTAAGCGTCAAAAGCTCGCTCACCGGAAAGAGGAGGAAGAAAAGAAAGAGGCCGAGTCCGGGGCAAGCATGGAGCCGATGCAGAAGAAGAAAGCTGCTGAAGAGCGCAAGGGAGAGTCTAAAGCCGCGGAGAAAGACGGAGATGAGGCCATGACCGATGTGTTCAAGTCCGATGCAGACTACGAAGCTGAGAAGACCGCCTCGATTCTCGCGGCTAAGAAAGAATTGTCTGAGCTCATTGACCCCAGTCTTGCCTCAGACAGCGGTGTGAACAAGACGGGTCTCTACGAACTACGCGGAGTGATCACACATCAGGGTGCAAGTGCAGACAGCGGACATTACACCGCGTACGTGAAAAAGCAGTCCAGCAGTGATGGTGCAAGCACCGAAGACAAGTGGTGGTGGTTCAACGATGAGAAGGTTACCGAAGTGGAAGGGGACAAGATTGAGACGCTTGCTGGTGGTGGTAAGCCCCCTGGAACCATTGTTACTCGATTCTGATAATCAACGGACTTCTAACCTTCATTTCCAGGTGAATCCCATTCTGCACTTATTCTCCTCTACCGGGCTGTTGAGGTGCCGACGACGAATTAAGCAGGGCCCTCACTTTATCTCACGAGTATCAAGCTAGAAACGGTATGCATAGATAATGAGCTTATGGCTGAATGTTAGGAACAAATGTTTCTGCTCAACAAATTATTGCAAATATGGTTTTGAGTTAACCAATACGATATTCTGCTTCGTAGCTAGTAGCAGCTGTAAATTATATCCAGACAGCCATTCATATAATCACGTGATAATGCAGCAAGGAGTTTCAGCCGAGGGATCCCCTATCTTATCTAATCACTGGTTGCTTCGTCGAGCTCTGGGAAAATGCTGCGTCGTCGATGAAACCTGCGATGTGAGCATCATGTTTTCCTCGCGCAGAGTCCTACAAACGCAACTACGCCTTCTTCGGAACAAACCGCTATTACCATGTCGATATACACTTCGTCCGTCGAGGAACACCAGCACTGCCGCCCATGAACCGATACCTCAACCGTCGCGGTGGCCGCGACGCCTGGCCTACATTGCGATTTTCGGTAGCCTTGGGATTGCTGCCGGAAAGTGGATGGATAGGAAGCTCGCACCACCGCCATTTCCCGATACAGAGGAAGATCGCGAAAAACTAGAAGAAATCCGCTACATCTACGAGCACGGGCTGCCCATCGTGAAGGAACTGCGAGAGAACCCCGATTATATAGAGGCTGATGTATACGGCAACTATTCGAAGGAAGATAAATTACAGAGGCTGAGTTCGGGTGCTTTACGAGGCAGCCGAGGACTTGCATTTCAGGTCAGTTCTCACTGTGGTTCAAGCCGATACCTCTCGGGCCACCTGTGTAACCTGGCACATGGCTGACGAAGTGGTCATTTAGAGAATATTCTACAATGATAAAGAGAAGGAGGCCATCAATGTCGCATATGTCGGACCGGGATTAGAAGGATGGCCGACGGTTGTTCATGGAGGTGCTCTGGGGACCGTGATCGATGAGCATCTAGCCCGAGTCGCAATCAGACATCTTCCACAACGCACGGGAGTCACGGCCAACCTGCAGCTCAAATACCGTGCCCCGGTGTACTCGGGTAACTTCTACACCTTCCATGCTACTCTGGATGAGGAACGGAGCACAGAACGCAAGGCATGGGTGAAGGGGGAAGTCCGCGACCCTATGGGACGATTGTGTATCGAGGCTTCCGCCCTCTTTGTAGTCCCCAAGACCTATAAGCTTCAAGAGGTTGGAGATCGCTACTGACCGGGCAGCGTTGGAAGATACTGCATGCTTTTGGTCTGGACGGGCCTTTGGGGGGCCATGCAGCCGTATCCTGCCTAGCCAGGGTCGTGCAAGGGACGACCCTTCCTGGCTGGGACTTTCTTAGCATTCTCGCCACTTTGGGAGATTGTTATTGGCGAGGCCCTCCAGAAAACTTAGTTCTTCATCCAGGAGAATGGATCCAAATTTCCGTCCTCGTGTACATACACCCCTTCTGATTCATGCCCCTCTTTCCTGCACGGACATTATTAGACATTTTGGTCATAGAATCTATGCACCGGTAGCCTAGAAAAGGTTCAAGGAAAAAATAGAGTTTCTTTGATAGCCGGGGAGACCGAAGCGACGTCGTTGACTTGTCGCCTGGTGGAGCGGCGGGCTGCCCGTCCAGCGACTCCAGGCCCAGCTCTTCGTGCTCTGCCTGCTTCTCCCCCAGGATTTCCCCCGCATTTTCCTCTCCTCCACATCCATCCACGCGGTCAATTCTGCCGGTCGGCTATCCAGGATCCAATGGTCGCCCTTGCATTTGCTCAACTGCCTCGGTTGTATCTCAGAATGGTAGCATCTCCGTTCTGTCTAGTCCCTGGTGACGCTTTGATGGATTTGAGATCCTGCTGGGTTCCGTGGGTCGTTGTCCTTAAACGGTCCGGATCCACGCGCTGGTATCTATACTCTTAAAGCCAGCATCATTAAAGACCCACCACGATGATCAGTGCTGTGGGAGATAAATAAATAGTACATGCATGGCTTGCAGCGAGCATTTGCTTTTTTTTCTGATTTCGAGTCTTCTGTTTGACCGTTGCCGCTGCGCACCAATAGGATTCGCACCAGCCTGTTTTTCACGATGGAGCTCACTGATCACTCAAGTCAGTCTCAGACTGATGAAAAAGCTGTAGCAGAGCCACCTCCGACCGGCAATATGGAGAGAAAATTCAGTCATGATGAGGTTGTTGCGTACGAAGAGATGGGTGCGCCTGTGGACAATCCAGTATGTACCTGATCAGGCATGACATTGGCAATACACAGCCGAAAATTGACTGTGACCTTTATCGATTGTTAGATGACCTTCCGTCGGTTCATGGGATTTACAGCGATGGCTTTCCTATGGACTGGAAGCCAAATCCCAGTCTATCTCTTCGGTGAGATCTTCGCCTGTATGTCGGATATCAACGTTCTAATAACCTCCTAGGAGGCATACCACCTTACGTCTACGGAGACATTGGCGGCGCAGATCGATGGGTTTGGTTTGTGAGTATCATCCGAGGACTAAAATGACCGGAACGCTGACAATTGATGGACAAAACGCAGGTCCTGGCCAACTTGCTGGCGCTTGCTGGTGTTTGCCCTTTCGTCGGATCACTTTCGGATTTGATCGGTCGTCGATATGTTGCCCTCATCGGAGCCTCCCTTGTTTGCCTTGGTATGATCGTCAGCAGTACGGCGCATACGATGAACATTTTCATTGGTAGGTATACATAATTTATCCTCCATATCGAATGCTCAATGAATTCGAGTCTAATAGACATACAGCGGGGATGGCGATTGCGGGCGCAGGTGCAGGTATCAATGAGTTGACTGCATTAGCCGCCACCTCGGAAATGGCTCCAACTCGACAAAGAGGGAAATATGTTTCGGTGTTGATCTTCACCATCTTGCCATTCTGCCCATCCGTATTATGGGCTCAGCTTATTGCAGCATACAGCGGCTGGCGCTATGTCGGAGCTTTCTGCGGAGCATGGAGTGGATTCGGTTTGCTCATTACAGCCCTTTTCTACTTCCCGCCACCACGAGTCAATTCAGAGGGCTTGACTAGATCCGATATAATCAGTCGTATTGACTTCATCGGGGGATTCCTCAGTATCTCCGGCCTTATCATCTTTTTAGCTGGACTGCAGTGGGGTGGATATATGGTTCGGTCCCCATTTCCCGTCTCGAAACGTCGTTCTGGTAACTGATATATAAATAGTATGACTGGACATCAGCTCATGTTCTGGTTCCACTGATTCTTGGCTTTGTAGTCTTGGTCGTGTTTTCATTCTGGGAGATCTATGGTGCCAAGTATCCCATCTTCCCAAGCCGGCTAAAGCAAGAGCCACGCATTCTGGGCTTGACCCTAGTCATCACGTTCATTTCAGGAGCAAACTTCTTCTCCGTTCTCATGTTCTGGCCGACGCAGTCATTCAACGTATACGGCCATGATCCTGTCGACGTTGGTGTTCGGAGCCTCCCCATCGGGTTCGGCATCATGGCAGGTGCCTGTATCATCCTATGGCTCCTCAGTGTCTTGCATGGCCACAACAAGGAGCTTCTCATCATCAGCAGCGTCCTTATGACAGCAGGTCTGGGTAATCCATTTACCACGAACATGAACATAACGCTGACATCATCCCAGGTTGCGGTGCCATGTCAATAGGCCGACCAGACAACTTATACCAACTCTGGGGTATCCTAATCATCGCAGGCCTAGGGATTGGAGGAATAATCGTCCCAGCCTCAATCATCACGACGATCATATGTCCAGACGTAAGTCGTCCCTCATAAGCAACACCAACCCTCCACAGATCTCAGAGACTAACTATATATATCCCCAGGACTTAATTGCCACCATCTCAGCCCTCACTCTCTCCATCCGCGTCGCCGGCGGCGGCATCGGCTACACAATCTACTACAACATCTTCATCTCGAAATTCGTCCCCAACGCACAGCACTACATCGGCGGCGTCATGCTCACCGAGCTCAACATCACCAACACCACGTATATCGCCGAAGCGATCGAACTCACCGGTGCATCTCTGCTCGACGAACTAAAGGTCATCCCTGGCATCGCGGGTAACGAGACTGCGTACAATGCTGTCGTAGCAGCGGGTCAGCTCGCCTACGCTGAGAGCTATAAGTGGGTGTATTATGCTAGTATTGGCTTCGGGGGCGTGTCTATCATCGCGGCTTGTTTCTTGGGGAATATCAAGAAGTATATGAATGATCATGTGGCTGTTGTGATGCATTGAGGGTGTGATATATCATCTATGATGGTGTGGTGGATCTTTGGGTATGGGGATGGTCAATTATCCACTGCTATGTTTACCATGTTTGATTCGCTACGATTTGATGAGGATAACGGTTCATGATGTATAAATGATGATACGATGTGCATGTTTACTACACTACATGACTTCACAAGAAAACATGATAACCCCACAGTGAACATGCTATGATTATTTTCTCCATCGCGTCTTTATGCAGCCCAACAATGAAATGAATGACCTTATACCCAGCGCCAGACACTTAATATGCAAAAGTTCGAAAAAATAAAAGACAGGCTGCAAATGCAGCGCCACAAACCACACACTCTTGTAAGAAAATGTCAACAATCAGGCATCGTTGACAACACGGAAAAGAAGCAAAGCACTATCGTACATGCATCAGGGTATCTGCTAGGAGAGATGAGGGCCTCGTCCACGCGACTGAACACAGGTTCAGTCGGCACGTGTAGTCTCCTTTTGTCCTAGTCTCCTTCCCTTTCTCTCGAGGGTCCTTGAGACAGCAAATAGGTGTTGAAGAAATAGATGTTATGACTCTTGTCATGATTCTTCCTTCAGTCCGCAGATATCCGTCCCCAAAATTCTATCAACCATGTACCAGAATTTCCAGTAAGTATTCGACTTGTCGAAATCGAATGCCCCGTCTTCGCGGAGTTGAGGTCCATCGCCCACAATATCGCCCGTGAACCAGCTGAGAATGGGGATTGAGCGTAGCACCCGCTCCGTGACCGTAGGCTGAGGCGGAAGGGCTTCTGTGATGGGGCGGAGTTTCGTCCGACGCACCGTCGGGATATGCGTCATGAAGTCTGATTCAGGCTTGGGCTCCTTGACGACTGTACGCTGTTGCAGAGGTGCTGGTTGCTCGATGGCGGTGGCTGTTGCGGAGCTAGCGGTGGGGGTTGATGATGATTCCTGGGATTCCTCCTCATGGGCGTCGAGGATACTGGACAGGTTATTCGAGGCGAAAGATCTCGGCAGCGTATGGCGTTCCTTGGTGGCTGTGTCCTTCGGTTGGAGGAAACTCGTCGAATGCGACGAAGTCAGAGTGCGAGGCGCCGCCTTCGACTGGAGACGAGTCGCCTCCGCAGATCCTTGCACGATAGGGGCGTCCTCCGCAGGTCCCTGGCCATGATACAGCTCACAAAAGACCAAATGGCCATCGATTTCCTGCGGAGAGTAAAAGCACGCGCGATCGGCCGCTGTCGTCGAATCAAACGTGACTTTAATCCAGTGAAATCCGCCCGCATAGCGCTTCGATTTGCGATTCGCGTCCGCTGACAAGTTCGCCCGGATGACCACATCACCGCCGCTCAAAAGCTGCGAATACCCGTTCGAAGCATTGGGGTCTGTCCGCGGATAGTCCTCACAGATGAAACCGCGAGAGATCCGCTCGTACTTGTCTATCACTTTCCATTCGAAATCCTTGCTCTTGTATCCGTATAGTATGCACTCTGTTGCGACCTTTTCTGTCTGTTGCTTCCGGGCGTTGTCAAGGTTGGAAGCGGAGGACGACTTGGGCAGGGTGTTGCTGCGCGCTTTCTCCTCTTCTTGTTGTTGGGCGAATAGACGCCCGAATTCTGCTACATTGGGGTTTTCGCGCTTTGCTGCTGGCGTGCCAGTGCGTGTGCGAGATCGGGTGTGTTCGTAGCGGGCGTTTCTGCGCTTGCCAAAAGGGCCGGACTCTTCGGGGGGGCGGCGGGGATTGCGAGATTCACTGGAAAAGGTGATGAATGAGATCGGGTTGAAGCGGGTTGAAAAATGGATGCAATGATATAAGACTTACTCTTTGTAAACGTAGCCCCAGGGTAGGAGGTTACCCTTGTCGTCTCTGGCGCGCTCCTCCGGAGGAACGAAGTGGTACTCCATCTCGGAAAATAGAGTGGATCGCCTTTGGTATACTAGATGCAGGCAAGAAAGAAGTAAACCAGGGTCTGGGAGAGTGTCCGTAAAGTAGAAGGATAGTAGGTGATGTTTTGGATGAAAAGGAGCGGCCTTGAGAAAGGATCCGTTGGATGGAAGCTGATTTCCGTCCAAAAGTTTTGGGCGCAACAAACAGTGAGTGTTAGCCCGGATACCATCACGTGAGCCGGTGCGGTATGAACTGCGGATCTTGACCGCTTCAATGTCGCTCTACCACGATTGGAATCTCCATCTATTTTGATATCTGATCTGAGTTTGGATAGAAGTATTCAAAGTGTTCAAGTATTCTCCATATGCTGATTTTTAAGTGTCTAACTCCACAGTCTGAATGGTAGGTCCGTTGTTCGATAGTGATTTCATTTTTCCCTCCCCCAAGGCAATGTATATACTACTAGTAGCCCAAGGTTGTCAACTCTACCAGAATTTACTTGACTAGCGAATATTCCATTACTAGTAGCTACGGCCATACTATGCACATATTTGATGTATCTACAAGAAAGTAGCGCTTCATGCGACAGTCCTTCCTCTTGAAGCAATATCGAATAATTCCAGAAGCTGTTATCAACCCGTGCATGGGCCAACATTCTTGAACATGGCATGTTTCACAGGCCAGGAGCAACTATGCCAATGTGCCTCCTATAATTTTTGGATGGCATACCTCAAGTCCCTTATTGCTGTTGCCGAAGAAATGTAATTCTTCCAACATCGCCATCCAAACCACATACATCCTCGAACTCCCCTACTTCAACCCTTCTTCTGCCCACACCACTTGGCTCCCTTCGTTAGGACGTCGAGTCACCCATAGAATAAGGAACATCGTACCCACCTTGAAGCCCTCACGCAAAAGATTCGCCGTAGCATTCAGCCAGCCCGTTGCGCCCGCGTAAGGTTCGGGCCTCCACGGTAGTAATGGACTAAAATTACGTCCGAATTCGAAATTCTGACGATATTCGCGCGTAAAGACATCGCATTTGGGACTCGAGCCCGAACAGTCGTTCCAAAATCGCACATTTCCTGCATGCTGGAGACTTCTTAGTTGGTGAACCCCTCAAGCTCACGGCTGTCCTCGTCGACGAGCAGTCGCTCCGCAATAGCCGGGATATACGCTTGCTGAACAGAGTGAGTATTCTGTTGCCGTTGTCATGGCCGCGATCTTCGTCTTCCATGTACTTCAAGCATGTATCTTCCGCTGTCGGTGTATCCCCCAGAGCTTTGTCTTCGCATCAGACGGGGTAGGGTGTCATTAACGGGCTGCGAATCGGACTCCAATTTCGAGGGCTTGGCGAGTGTCTGCGTAGGGTCAGTTGCTTGAAGTCTCGTTCTGGACTGCTGGTGATGTAAGTCCAGTTATTTAAAAATGACACCCAGCGGTTCAGCGGAATCTCTGCTTTATGGGTTCAAATCAAAAGGGCAAGGGGACCTGTACCCATGCTCAGATGTCTCATCAGTGTGTTCCATGGACGCTAGTAATGGAAGATCAACTACGGCTTCTTGCAGATCTCGTTGAGATATCTCGCCGCATGGCGCGACATCTAGTCATCTATTTGATACCATAGCATGTTGAATAAGCAGGGATGTATCTGGTCGACTGCAACTATCCGGTATGTCAATCCCCTGTAGTTCATCGCCTCCGCCGGATTTCCTGACCCAAGGCCAATATCCGCCGAGGTGGTGGTGAAGTTTCCAGTCATCATGTTGTTCTATGCATGGACTTCGGAACCGGACCCTCCAGCTTGCACCACAAGCCAGCGGGACGTCAAGAGTCACGACAGTTTGTACTGCGCGACAGACTATAGTAATAATAAAGGATTCTTGCCACTGCAGTGAAAAGAGAATAATGGCAGAGAGCTAAGCGAGAGGGACACGGCCTCCCGACGTCATGAGCAGATGCATTCAGTTCATATTGAGATCTGAAAAGAGATGTATTACAGTTAATTTCGATGATCGACAGACGGCTTATCAATACCAAGAAACAAACAATGTATATCCTGTGTCCCACAGCCATGGAAACACCAAGATCTGTTTGCATGATGAAGACTTGCTTGCGCAACGTCTTAGGTACTATATCTGAAGCGAGGATTTCTGTCTCCCATCTCCTCAATCTCTTCCTCTGACATCCCGACAATCTTCTCATCTTCGAGTCCCTGCTCCCTGCGCTTATTCTTCCCATAATAATACCACCACATAAGACCATACACAATACCTGCAAATCCAACCAGCGATAGAGTCACCGCATTTCCCCGAACATAACGCGGCGCTTCATTCGTTTTGTATAAGAAAGGAGACATGACGCCACTGACGTTGCCGAAAGTGAGTTGCAGACCTGTAGCGAATGTACGCTTTCCATAACGAGGAAGTGTAGTCGGGAGCCATGCGAGAGGTAATCCGACTGCGACGTATAATCCCAGCGCAATAAGCAGGGCGCCGAAGTAATGTACTCCTGACGAAGAATCCGATATCAGGATTCCATACCCTACCACTGATATTGCGGCAAAGATGCAAGTAAATACTCCGCGACGCTGAGTTCGATCGCTCGCCCAAGCAATAATCAGATAACTTATTGCGCCCACCGCATAGCAAGGAATCGTAAGAGCCTGCACCTCGGGTGTTGACCAGGACCCCATCCCCTGGATAATCGTGGGGAGGAAGGTACTATACCCGTAAAGCATAGTATCGACACCAAATTGAGCAATGCAGAAGGCATAAATTCTCCAGTCCAGCGCACCTTCTTTGACGTCTGCCCAATGGAACTTTTGGGCGGATGATGTTTGGCCCACATCGCGACGACGGAGACGAACTACTAGGGCCTTCTCCTCATCGTCGAGATAATAGGCTGTATCAAGGTCGTCTGCAAGAAAAAACCAGGATAGGACGCCTAGTATGACCGTTGGAATGCCCTCGATGATCATGATCCATCTCCAACCTCGTAAACCGGCGACACCGTCCATAAAGCCGATACCGTAGGCTAGAAGCCCGCCAAATGCGCCAGCAGCGGCTGCACTGCTAAATAGATATCCTGTGCGCAGTGCTATTTCACGCTTGCTGTAGAAAATGGTGAGATAGGTTACCATCCCAGGAAACAGTCCGGCTTCCACGACGCCTATATTTGTTAGCTTGGGTTCTCATTGTTGACCCGCGGGCCCTAACTAACCCAAAAGGATGCGACAGGCAATCAAGCCTCCGTAATTCTGGGTTATACCTGTGAGGGTCGCTATGATACCCCACAGAACTGATATCGTCGCAATGTAGCGTGACGGCCTAAGCTTCTTGATAACCAAGTTTGACGGTACTTCGAAGAGCTATACAGCATTAGACGTTGCGTCGAAACGATGCTTGTATGCGAATCCAGACATACACAGTAAGTCACGAATAGAATAGACACGGCAACCTGATATTGATCTCCAACGAGACCCAGGTCTTCTTCCATTCCGTATAGGCGCGCATTGCCAATGTTAACTAGGGCTTGTTAGCGAGTGTGCTAACCATTCGAATTGTCATCGACTGGAGGCAGAGATGCGATGTATGGGAAGACATACCTCTGTCAAGAAAGCTAAACAGATAAAGAAGAACAACAAAGGGTATGATATGTAGGTCGATCTTGCGAATTAAATGCTTCTCTCTTTTCTCATCCAGTAACGAGAGAGCCGAATCATTGCTATCACCCTCATCCATCGAGCCCCCAAACTGAGTTGGGGATCTATAGTCTGGCTTCTGTTCTCCTGGGTATTCCATCATTGCTGTCGGAGTCAATTTCGTCATCTAACCTTGTACAGGGCCTGCACACGGGCCAAGATTCGGTCCCAACTTCCCGTGGGCAATACAGCAGATCAATGCTTCAAGATTCAACTAGATCCATAGTCCGCATGGCAATTAGAAGACACAACTCGTATAAGCCCAGAATTACCAACCACAATGCAAGTGAGGCGGGGGATTATTGAAGCAAAAAAATGGTGGCGATCTGGTGGGTGGCCAAGGTTCGCCAAGGTTCCAGCCCGGCGGGTTTTGACTTTAGTCTTTACGGCTCTTTCCACCTGCAACCCACAACCTTCTCTCGAGATATGCTCCAAATGAATGGTTCGAGATACAAGATTGGGAAAGTTATAGGTTTCAGCTCGCCACAGCTTACCATTTCGGGGGACTCGTCGTTGTCAGCTACTGAACCGTGCGGATATAGCTCCGCTGGAGCACACGTCCGCATGCAGATCATGTTAAAAACAAGGCATAGAGATGACGAGAAACTCTATCGTGCGCAAACACAACAGCACAACAGAGCGGATCTACTCGATAGCCAAACATGAAGAAGTAATCTGGGAATATGCTTTAATGCAAACAGTCAACCACGAAACTAGCCCACCAGGTTGTGGGTCAGCAAAGCAATGGCTGACTTCACAATGATATGACTGCCTTTAGAGTTAATGACCACTGTGCCGCGGATGAACTTTTCCCTCCGCACTGTACAGCAAATCTATGTATTTCATATGAATAATTGATTACTATCCCGGGCAAAAATGAACAGTGCGCACCATACAATAGCGATGCCTAGAACTCAGCGCTTACAGCGTGAAGGGAGTCCATCTATTGCTCCAGACAGGGCCAATAAGATGGCTGGAAGAACAAATGCGGCTCAGGAAGTGCCTGGGGTAGCGTGTACGAAATATAAAGGAAGGACACTAGACTGAAGTACGGCTTCTGTTTAACAAATGAGCGGAAAGATATAGCCGTTCAGGAGTGACTAACTTCGCTAGTTATAAGCCGAAATAGAAACCCGAACAGGAGAGGACGATACTGTCTCATTCCTTTGCTGACGTTTCCCTGCTCATTGGCTACAAGCTGCAAATGAACATCGGACGCGAACTTGGTTCAATGGCGTTGTCTGGGCACAAAAGACGTGCATTGATAGCAGTGTCTTCATTGATTGGCCAACTCCATGCTCGCTTTAGCAACCCTTAGTGGAGGGGTTTTGAGAGCCCTTGCGATATTTCCATGATCCGAAACACCAAGGCGTTTAGGGCAAGTTATACATTGACGGCAAGTTAGTGGTGTGCGAGGAGTGAGGCCTTATTGGCTTCGCATGTATTTGGGCCAGGAGGTTCAAGTGACAGGGGTTTTAAGGGTCTCTGTTTCAGAAAGCCTTGAAAGGGAGACGAAAGCTCATAGGGAGAAGTATTCGCAACCTCAAGTCTTCTTTCCTCCTCCTCATACTCCTTGTATTCAGTGATCTTCTTTGTTGGCCGTTCCCTCAGACTTCATATGTCGAAGGCACTCAAAGAGTTTAAGAATATGATGGTCCGGGAAGGCCAGGTGAGCAAGCTATGGAAGACCCATTCCCGGAGCTCACATTGCGCCTCCCAAGAGCGGTAACAAAGATAAGAACTGGCAACTGCGCTTGGACGCGGGAGAGGTGAAGGATGGCAAGAAAATGGGTTTGCATTTAAGTAAACTCAGAGGCCACCAACGAGTCGCTCCAAAAGTGGAGGGAAAAGAACTCCAGTCACGGGAATCTGACTTTTGTGGTCATCAATGTCAATGAGCCGAAAGAAAGGATGTCAACCGTTTCTGATGAGATATGGAAAGACGTTGAGAAGCAGGCGAAGGATAATTTGGGTCGACAGGTATGATCAATTGATGGACCGCAACAATCGCAACAGTCAGCTGACGCGTTAAGATAGGTCTTTCAAACAGCCACTGCTTGGACCTGAGCCAAGCAGCAAAGCCATAGCATCCAATGACACATTTAAGGCATAGTGTCGCATTGGAGTCCCGTTAAGAATCTTCTATATAAAACCAAAGCTTTTTTGCCTCTTCCTCAGTTATGTCTTCGGTTTCTCTCCCAATGTATAGCTCGAAGAGTTCAGCATGTCTTGCTTGGACCTTTTCAAAATCGAGTTGAGGAGAAAGCCAGCCCTCATCATCTGAGTGCAACAGTTCCTGTGTATAACCTTTTAGTGTCAGCCAATCATTGTACCGCGCAAGCTCCAATCCATGCTTTGATAATGCTTCATCGGTAATATGATAAGGACACTGCTCGGTGATTCCCATTTCGTTCCAGTGTTCAGCGATTTGAGTCAAGCAATCACGAAGCGGAACAATTCCATCCTTAGTCGTGTCTTCTGCGAATGAGAAAAGGTATCGGACAGCGGAGTCAACCCCGAGTCATAGCCAAGTACGATGGCATGTGGTTTTTGACCAGAGCTGCTTCGTAGCATTTTGAGAGTAAAGCTCGATCCCTCTCGGTGATAGCAAAGGCTTTCTCATCCGCGTCCATTTCTTCAAAGTTTGGAGGTAGTTCCGGCTTGACAGTACCAGCTTCATAACCATCAGGTGGGGCAAGGAAAGAAAGCCATTGAACTTGCATGAAAGCGGGCATAATCGAGGTAAATTGCCAATCGATTATGTTGACGATAGCTGTTGGATCCTCTTCGGAAACGCATATATTGCCCAGGTGAAGACCGTTATGCCACAGTGTAGTCTTAGAGAGCTTCTGTAGTGGGGTGAAATTCCCCAAGTGTAGCATTGTCTCCCTAACCTTTGTCAAGATTTCGAAGTGCTCGGATTTGGTGCCGAAATGGGGTCTACGAGGAGCAAGCGACGACTGTTGCAGGTGCGCAAGACCCCGACTGGTCAACCCAATACCAAGGTCCATAAGCCCCTGCCCTTTAAGAACGTAGTTTTAGCAAGTGTTTCCAATGGTGTTGACTGGTGACATACATGGGCCTGTATGACGTCCCTCGCCCAGCTGTGGAAACCACGACGCACTATATGCCGGGCCAACACAATATTCGTCGTCTATTGGAACAGTTCTGACCGACTCCTGGGGGCCCAGACGGCGAAAATACAAGTTTCCATATGCCGGAAACTCCAACGCCGCCAACTGACTTTCGAGCTGGACCAGGCATTGAACAAGCCGGAACTGCTGCAGCTGATTCATTTCGCCCCATACATCGACCAGCTGCTTCCCGTGGGCTTTCTCCATTAGAATATACTCGGAACCAACTGGAATTGAGGAGTCAGAGCTCCACCCGAGGACCTTGCACACTGGAACAGAGGTATGAGACCTCACTGGAGGAATCCAGGTCAGCATATCCAATTTCGGGAGCGGAACGGACCAACTTTACCATATTCCTATTCCAAAACAGCTGCTTCGGATGCGGTGCTATATCTTGGGGGGATAACCTTGGGACATGGTAACTTTGCGATAACTTCTTTCCCATTTTCCGCAGTCATTAGCAAGGCCTTGTTGAACCCACCCTCCATTTTGTCAATCCTAGAGATGGGCGAAGAAACATGTGGCAAATCCGAAACAAGTGCACAAAGAGCATCCAGATCAAATCTGGCATATCGTTTTGACATCTCATGCTTTTCATTGACTAAAAACCGACCATTGGTGTATTCATACAGTTGCTCGCGCTGGATAGGCTCTCCTAGATGGAGCGATGGCCGTCAGACTGAACTGCCGGTAGGGGTCCACTTAGAGCATACCGCGACACATTAAGGAGAGGCTTCTAGACACCGGCTTTGCAGCAGAAGAGGCTATCTTCAAGATCCTAGGTCGTACACTATGCATATCGATCAAGAAGAGGCAGCTACATGTCATGAGAACACCACCCTTCAGTTGTCGGGGCAGCTCCCAGGCGACCAGATATGCGCCCGGCTCGGTCCTTCATGCTTCCGCGCTCGGTTATACTCCATATACTAGCCTTCGCAAGATTCCTTTCCCTATACATAACCAGGATACTGCACCTTCCCACCACACGGACAGTGTATTGGGAAAGTTCTGTTCTTATTTAGGTATAATGTTGAACCAGCTATGAAGCGCTGCTCTCCTACCCACCATGATGAAGAACTTCCACTTATGGCCGTCTCACTTTCAATCTACTTCTGATTCGTCACCTGTTCTATCATTCAGCATAGGTACGTGGACGGACGTGTGCGTCATATCAATCAGCAGATGTTATTGTTGGCCTTGATAATGGTATGCCATCGCTTTTGAGGGACATACAGGGTGTACTCACGGGCAACTTGCTATCGGCTTACCCATCCTTCTTTGCTTGCACAGCTCCTGAATAGTCCGATATCGCCTCCGGATTAGGTTAAGGAGTTAAGGGTGTGATGTTATGATCAGTGGGGTTCTCGCCACAAGTATTCTTATTTGATTGAGGTATTTATTTCACTCCCAGTTGGGGCCATGCCGTACTTTGGGCCTAGAATCAACTAGCCTCCAGGAGCCGACACTGTGTATAACAACTCAATGTAATCTTGATCTAGCTTCTTTGCTTCATGTTATATGCCAGCCATTGCGCGGACTGGAGTCTATGAAATGAAGTAGAGAGCATTTTGTGCAGTTTCGATTGTCTTTTTCAAGCAACTGCTTACATAGTATTCATTGACATGACTGAGTGGGGATGATGTTTCCCAACGCCATCCACAACCCCGCCATGAGACCCCTCTTACAACTGCCTTTACGAATATACGAACAGAAACTACTTCATGTAAGGGTATTCGCTTAAATGTTCTCAGTCCTGCAACACCTACACCGGCTTACTCTGCCGACTCTGATTGGGCCTGAATAACGCTGTTCCCGATGTTTCTCCGCACTCGGCAAAGCCCCGCAGTCCGGGGCCAATTGAAGGGACTGTGGAGTGGAAACCAGGGGTATACCGATGCTATACTCCGCAGTATCTAGTCAATTTCACCGAACAAACGTTGAAATTTCACCGAGAAAGCGTAGGCCGGTGGGCCGATTCTTGGTCAAGGAGCAGCTATCCGCTCAATCCCGAATGAGGTCCGTGTTCGGTCGATGTCAACAACACCCCACGCGGGGAATGATACATTGACGTTGGATAACCGCATTTCTTCAAAGACGCACCCCGGATTTGTAAGAAACACAACCGGGGCTGATTGCACAAGTACAATTGAGTCACTCGATAGCATATATGTGGACGGAAAGGGAGAGGAAATTCAAGTTCAAGAAACAGGAACTTGAAGCCAGTGCGTGTTTACGGAAAATATGGGCCAGATACGAAGATGAGGCATTAAACTTCGATTCGGCGTCAAAACGTAGAAGTTTGTATATCTGGGCGCATTATTGCAGACCCCCACCCCGTTGAACGACAGACTTGGAGTCCACTGGCGCACATATAAACCCGGTCATCCAATGTCTCAATCTTCAGAAATCATCTTCAGTCACAGCACGATTTCTCAAAGGGCTCATTAGCAATGGCTCGTCTTTTGAAGGCCGTTACTGTTTGTGCGTTGGCGGGCATCGCTCATGCCTTCAACTATGACCAGCCTTACCGTGGTCAATACCATTTTTCACCCCAGAAGAACTGGATGAATGATCCCAATGGGCTTTTGTATCATAATGGAACCTACCATCTATTCTTCCAGTACAATCCTGGTGGTATCGAGTGGGGCAACATATCATGGGGGCATGCTACCAGTGAGGACCTTACTCACTGGGAGGAGCAGCCCGTTGCCCTTCTGGCCCGAGGATACGGCAGCGATGTCACCGAGATGTACTTCAGCGGAAGTGCTGTTGCCGATGTCAATAACACGAGTGGCTTCGGAAAGGACGGCAAGACACCTCTAGTTGCCATGTATACTTCCTATGTACTTGCCCCATCACCGAACCATCTCCTGGAGTGCATATCGCTAACAGTAATTCCATAGTACCCCGTTGCACAGACATTGCCGAGTGGCCAAACCGTCCAAGAGGACCAGCAATCTCAATCCATCGCCTACAGTCTTGATGACGGTCTAACATGGACGACATACGATGCCGCCAACCCAGTCATCCCCAACCCTCCCCAGCCCTACCAAGCTCAATACCAGAACTTCCGAGACCCCTTTGTGTTCTGGCACGACGAGTCCCAGAAATGGGTTGTCGTTACAAGTATAGCCGAACTGCACAAGCTTGCAATTTATACATCTGACAACCTCAAAGACTGGAAGCTAGTGAGCGAATTCGGTCCTTACAATGCGCAAGGCGGCGTATGGGAGTGCCCCGGACTTTTCAAGCTACCCCTTGACGGGGGAAGCTCCACAAAATGGGTTATCACGAGCGGACTGAACCCCGGTGGTCCTCCAGGCACCGTCGGCTCTGGAACCCAGTACTTTGTGGGCGAGTTCGACGGAACCACATTTACGCCTGACGCCGATACGGTATACCCGGGTAACTCAACCGCCAACTGGATGGACTGGGGCCCGGACTTCTATGCCGCGGCTGGCTACAACGGCCTCTCAATTAAAGACCACGTCCATATCGGCTGGATGAACAACTGGCAGTATGGTGCGAACATCCCCACCTACCCCTGGCGCAGCGCCATGGCCATTCCTCGCCACCTGGCTCTGAAGACCATCAACAACAAAACAACGCTAGTCCAGCAGCCCCAGGAAGCGTGGTCTTCCATCTCGAGCAAGCATCCGCTCTATTCGCGCACCTACAGTACCTTCTCTGAAGGTTCCACCAACGCAAGCACGACTGGAGAAACGTTCAGGGTAGATCTGAGCTTCTCTGCTACGTCGAAGGCCTCAACATTTGCAATCGCCCTCCGAGCCTCCGCCAACTTCACCGAGCAGACCCTTGCTGGCTACGACTTCGCCAAGCAGCAAATCTTCCTCGACCGGACCAAGTCAGGGGATGTGTCATTTGATAACACCTTCGCGAGCGTCTATCATGGACCCTTGGTGCCGGATAGCACTAGCATGGTGAGGTTGAGTATCTTCGTCGACAGGTCCAGCGTCGAGGTATTCGGAGGCCAAGGTGAGACGTCTTTGACGGCTCAGATCTTTCCTAGCAATGATGCGGTTCACGCCCGCCTGGTGTCTACTGGTGGAGCTACTGAGGACGTCCGCGTTGATGTTCACAATATTACTTCGACGTGGAATTAACGTCTTGTTCCTACATGTGGTAGCATCTTGTGTCTGTTGGTTTTACTATTTGAGGTTAAGCGGTAGATATACTCTAAATCGAATTGATATTTCTTCCACATGGTCATTGAATAAACTAGTTACCTTGCATCAAGGTACCGGTGGCCATGACGTCAGCCGCAATCCCATATCGGGTAATGATCAGGATCCCGAGGCATGGCTGGTTCACGTGCCGGCTGCATGAGGTACAAGTCTATCCGTGAGGGGGCTGATTATAGAGTTACCTTTTGCTGTCAGCATCTGTTCTTTCATGTAAAAATCCTGAAATCGAAAGGCATTATTAAATATTTTCACACGCAATATGTCGGAGAACTACGGCGACTATCAGACTGAGATCTATGGCCGAGGAGCATTGACAGGCGTCCTGCCTAATGTCACTACCGACCCTCGCTTACTTGAAAAACAGGCAAAGAAGGCCTTGGGCGCTCGTAGCTTCAACTATGTGGCTGGCGGTGCTGGAGAGAAGGCTACAATGGATAGCAATCGACTGGCTTTTCGACAATGGAAGCTGTGAGTTGAGTCGTTTCCGCCGCGATATTGCGATGTAGAGTCGGAAGACTGACGCGTATAACGCTTGATGAAATGAAAAGAATCCCGCGGATGCTGAAACCGGTTAGTAGACTTCAGTCGCTTTCCCAAGTCCCAGCGCTGACCAATGGTTGTGTCCGCGTAGATGAATGATCAGAACCTCGCGGTAAACCTTTTCGGCCAGCACTATCCAACCCCTCTTCTCATGGCGCCGGTCGGCGTCCAGTCTATATTTCATGATGATAAGGAGTCTGGCCTTGCAGAAGCTTGCGGGAATGTCGGGATCCCGTATATCCTGAGCACCGCGAGTAGCAGCTCGATTGAGGAGGTTGCACAGGCAAATGGAGACGGTAAAAGATGGTTCCAACTTTACTGGCCGCGCGACGATGATATTACGCTATCATTGCTGAAACGCGCCAAAGACAATGGGTTCTCCGTCCTGGTAGTTACCCTAGACACTTGGTCGCTCGCTTGGCGACCAGCGGACCTGGACAATGCCTACGTTCCGTTCATACGGGGCGTCGGCAACACACTCGGTTTCACGGATCCCGTGTTCCGTTCGAAATTTGAGAAGGAATCCGGTTCGACAGTAGAAGAGGACATCGTGGGGGCATCCAAGGCATGGATTTCCCAGGTATTCTATGGTCAGCCACATGCGTGGGAGCAAATTGCATTTTTGCGAAAGAATTGGGATGGTCCACTTGTGCTCAAGGGCATTCAGCATGTAGATGATGCGAAGCTTGCCCTTGAGGCCGGATGTGACGGTATTGTCGTTTCAAACCATGGAGGTATGTGGCAGCCACTCTCCAGCGAGGCTTCTCTGTATTAATATGTATACAGGTCGACAGGTTGATGGTGCGATCGGCTCCCTCGAAGTTCTCCCTGAGATAGTTGATGCTGTTGGTGGCAAGATGACAGTCCTGTTTGATTCAGGGGTTCGCACTGGAGCAGATATCATCAAAGCGCTTTGTCTGGGAGCGGATGCTGTCTTGGTTGGTAGGCCCGTGATCTATGGGTTGGCAATCGATGGAAAAAATGGGGCTGAAGCCGTGATGAAGGGACTTTTGGCGGATCTCTGGCAGACTATGAGTCTGTCAGGGATACGTACCGTGGCCGAGTGCACCCGCGACAAGATCAGAAAAGTTGTGTACCCTGGAGATGGGAAGGCAATGTTGTGACATGTAGCATATTATTGGCCGGCAACGTGAAGATGCCCAATTCAGGAGAAGATCTGATGACGGAGTTTGGGGAAGGAATGAGGGGAAACTGGAGCCTGTGGGGTAGCACCAAATCTTGAAACTTGTATACTTGCTTCGCGATAATGTATTCGCGTTGCGAGCTCCACACAGAGGAAGAAGAAACAACTACCAGTGTCTATAATGAGTTAGTCGCGTAGGGGTGGATTCTGCCCGAAGATGAAGCCGACGACCCAAGTTTTGTTGGGGCGATCCCGCAAAATCACATGCCGGCTCTCAACCGCAGCCCCTAATGAGTGGTTGATTATTCGTCGCCACCGGCTGCTGATCTACATTTCTGTCTGCCGGTCAACCACTGCAGGAACCAGACTTTGACTGCTACGTTCAACCGCTGATCTGGTCGGGCATCTCTTATCAGCCAGTATTCTTCGGATTTGTACCTCTACCTCTGTTCTCCGTCTCTGACTTGAGACCAGTGCCTCATGGCTGCACAACATCCGCCTAATGGAAACCAAGACAGTCTCAACCAATACCTGAGGCCCCGAGATGTCTAGATTCTTTGGCTTCGGGAGGGCGAAGAAGCAGGATGTCGAAGAACAAACGCAAGTAGATGTCCTCCGTGACAATGGCGCCGCTCATGTTCCTGCCACTTCGGGCTTACCTCTCCTCCCGCGTCCCCTGGCGTCCATGGTGTCGTTCATGACGCAGTCGACTTCCCTCTCTCTTCGGCTGGGGACGTTTGTTGGGGGTCTTGCGCTTGACAGTGCGAAAGCGACGACGTTAACAGGGCTCGAACTAAGTAGAGCTATGATCGAAGGCATACTGACTCGAGCTGGGCGTGACGTCGCTATCAGGTCCAGCGGAGAGCATGGCAAGGCAGAAGCAGAGTCTTTACTAGAACGAAGCGTGAGTTCTCACCTTGATACTAACCTCGCATCTTCTTTAAGGCTAACTCAGCACCTAGTTGGCCATTTTGCACAAGACAGTCACGTCTGCATCTTTCTTTGCAGCTGCGTCATTTAATCTTTCCTCAACCACGCTATCTTCTGCTGCCAACATGTCTCAGTCTCTTTTGTCTACCCTCGACGCTATCCTTGGCTCTACGGAGTCGTCGAGGGCGATTGCTGCCATCATTACTCTCATTAGGAGGGAATTCAGGAGTCCGCATGCCGACCTTGGCACTGACAAGATTGGCGTGGGCGATCTCCTCGTTGGATGTGTTGGGTTTGCACTCCTGCAACGCTGGGGAAGGACAAACACGCAAAGACACCTCCGCGCAAACAACGGGGAGGAAACAGTCTGGGATGTTGTTATCTTAGATAATGGGCTGAGGGCAGATGTTGTTGGTTCACACGAACTAGAAATGGCGACTATTTCTTACGATCAGCCACACGATAATATGAATCTCTCATCGTTCATATCGCCTGGAAATGATGAAGAGGTATTCGATGCTGTACGAAGACCTGCAAGTACGATCGATTCCGATGAATTCCCATACCTCTCGCTTCCTCCTGGAGATCAACATCAAGTGTCAGACGAAGACATCCGCTTATACATTATGAAGCAACTTCCCCAGGGTTGCCGTGCATCTATCAGGACGGATCTGGTCACAGCACGTACGATTACAGTGGAAGTTTACGACGACGCCACTGCAGCAATCTCCCCACCACCAGGCACAATGATAGTCAAGGAGACTTTCGGTGATGAGCTCGATCATAGCCACACAAACAGATCACAGGTTCCTAAACATACTGTTGTATTCCGCACAGCTTTCAATAGTACCCGAAGCTCCGATGTGAGGCCTTCCAGATCTGATACGGCAGTGAATCGTGTTGACAGTGGTATGGAGGACCTAAGCGAGCATCAATTACTGGGAAATACTGGGGATGGGATTTCGAATGCCGACAACTCATCACATGGCATTCTTTGCGCAGACAGACACGTTGGTGTTGAGCCCAGTGTAAGGAAACCGCAACTCATCTCCCCGAAGAAGCAGGCAAATTACATGTCTAGAGACACTCACGAGAAGGCTACACTGTCGAAGCTCACCCCGAAGAAGAAACTTATATACTCGAACGAAAAGGATCCTAGTAAGGTCTCCGGGTCGGTTGTCGAAAAGCCAAAGACGCCTTCTTCGTCGGAGAACCTACGTCAGCGCGGAAAAGCACCAAAACATTCCAACTCCACAAAGAAGCTCGACAACTCATCGGTACCGCACAATCGCGGGTCTTCAGCATCCGTGGCAAATAGAGGCTTACCGAGGATACCATTGCAAGGACACCGAATGAAATCCGCCCCGACTCCTACATCATGCCCATCCCATGATACTAGCCACGGAAGAAATCCCAGAACAGACAATTATACGATACATGAGAAGAATAATGAGTCATTCATGGCACAGACGGATGCTTATACTCGGCAATCGCTGGACCTACGGCCGGGAACACCAACTCCAAGGAGGGCTCACGTACGTAGCAGCAGCTCTATGTCCTTAACCAGGTCAGAAAGCGATGTGGCGATATCTCTGAACGACGATTCCCGACCGGGATCGCCTGTATTCTACCGGCAGTCTGGTTCATTTTCCCCAAGTCTATATTCGTTAGCAACTGCGGGCTCTGAAACATCACTTATCTTGGCTCACCGTGCGCGCAAAAGTGCATACGACGACATTGAAACAATCCGTGCGCTCAACCGGGACGGTACCGTGCCCGGCATTTTTCCGGAAAAGCACTTTGTGCACAACATCAGACGTTTCTGTCGCTTCTCTTCCGCTTCTTATGGTTCGAGCGCACTCAAAGTTATGGGTATCCCACGGACCACGCAGGTTCTTCCTTACCAAGAATCATACAGTCCCGAGCACAGCGAGTTCTCGGACCATGCAGGCCTACCAGCTTCTACAATTCTGTTATCATCCTATGTGGACCCTGCAGGTGGGACTAATGCTGCTGGGGAGACAGAGAGTGGCTTTCCTCTAGTCCATTACCTTTTCGTGGACCATGAGTCTAAGGCGGTAGTTCTTACCCTAAGAGGGACATGGGGCTTTGAAGACATCCTGACGGACATGACATGTGACTACGATGATCTCGAATGGCAAGGTAGAAGTTGGAAAGTCCACAAGGGTATGCATGCCTCTGCAAAACGGCTATTAATGGGTGGAAGCAGCAGAGTTATGATCACAATTCGGGCGGCCCTGGAGGAATTCCCGGATTACGGTGTGGTGTTCTGCGGTCACTCACT